AGAGGGAGAGAGGGAGAGAGGGAGAGAGGGAGAGAGGAGAGAGGGAGAGAGGGAGAGAGGGAGAGAGGGAGAGAGGGAGAGAGGGAGAGAGGGAGAGAGGGAGAGAGGGAGAGAGGGAGAGAGGGAGAGAGGGAGAGAGGGAGAGAGGAGAGAGCAGGAGAGAGGAATGGGAAAGAGGCTTACGGGCAAGGGTGGGAGGGATGAAATCAAAAGGATTTGCTTTCCTTCATGTCTAAACCCTTTGCCCGCCATCAGAGATCTGGCCGAGGCCCAGGCCGATAAGGGAAGCAGAATGACGCTGTCGTCCAGGAGGAGTGTGAGGCGATTCAGTGGGCCAGGTTGGCCGAACCCACTTGGCCTGGTTCCACAACACCAAAATAGAAAGAACTTCCTCATGCAAGCGGGTTTCAAATCGATTTCAATCAGCATGAAGGCTGTGACCTTTTGAGAGGCTCCTTCATCTTCAATGCAATGATAGCCAAGCTTTGTAGACGTTAGATGTGCGTTCCATTTGCCTTCACTGCGAATAAGCAGGCTCTGCTTGTAGCTCGTGCTGGTTGCTCATTCCCCTTTTTGGCACGCAGCATATGCCCTGCTAATTACCCGGCCTCAGCTGTGTCAAGGATATACAGCTCATTGGTGCGGCCCTTGCCATCGTAGCCGCCGAACAGGAAAATCTTGTGACCTGAATAAGCCGCAAGTGTTGCAAATTGTTGATGTCTGCTGATGCTGGAGATTCCCACAGGAGTTACGCTATGTCGTTGAGGTTGCTGTTGCTGTTGCTGCGCGATCATCTGTCCATGACAACTTCAGGCCCTAGCCCTCTTCCCCTGAGGCAAGGGCCGATGAGGTTGGCCGTATGCCCCCGCAGGCCTGGCTGAGAAAAACCGGGCACTCTTCTCTCACTACTTGTGGGCTCAAGCCCTGGTGGCAATCCAGTCAAACATCCCAACCTCTCCTGGCGGTGGCGTGCCGAGAATGTCCGGCTGTGACCAAAGGAGCTTCTGAGTGTCAAAGATGTGAAGGTCTGTGAGATGCTTGTTCCCACTGTGGCCACCTGACTCATCCAAGCTGAACTCAACTTCCAAGCACGAGAATTGAATGAAGTGATCAAGTTTCACAGCATGAAGAGTCAGAGTGACAAGGCCTTCCTCCTACCCAGGTTGAGGTCGTGTTTACTGAATTCTCACTGAGCGCGGCACCGAATAGGTACAGCTTTGTGCTAATTACCTGAGTTGCGTAGCCCTTCCGCGTGAAGGTGCTCCCCTGTCCCCGAAGTACACGGAATTCTGGAATACTCCAATTCTGTCTTTCCCACTGACCCTTGCCATTCTCGTACACTCTTAGCCTTAGGCTCCGAGGGGCAGTGTTTGCTTCGTGAGTCCAAGTGCTGCTGAGGCTCTGTCATGGTGTGGGCATTCCGGGCCTGTGGCAAAGTGCCGGAAAGCGCTGGCTGCATCCAGGTCATTGTCTCTAGATCGATGATGTCCATGTCCTGAGCATCATTGGCAAACCCAAAGGCTGTGAACCAACTGTTTGTGTCCAAGTCTTGCGTGGCACAAGTATCTCACTTATCTATTGCTTGCCCAGCGTCGTTGAAGCACTTGGCACCATCGTAGCCACCGAACATGTACCTTGGGCACCCAGTGCACCTGTCCAACATCACATTCAGCCCGCAAGAGCCTGACATTCGTCAAAAGTCGAGAAAGATCAGAACCTGCACTGACCCTCTGTCAGTTGAAAGCTTGCCCGACTCCCTCTCTCAGTTGCAAGCTTGCCCGATGTGCCGCAGGATCACCACAACCAGTCCAATGACTCCACAAATTGCTTGGCCAGGCTGCAGCTTGTGCGCCAGGCGCGTCAGCGTGTGACAGGCTCGGGCGGACGGAGGTGTGCCAGAGGTAGGTGCCTGGGGACAGCCCGTGTCCCTTGGCCTTCCTAAACACAATGTTGACCAATCGGCTACCACAACCCCTTGGATTGCCCTTGACTTCTAAAAGGTCTTGGAAACTCGTTCACGCCATTCATAAAACGACCACAGCTCAGGACAGAAAAGCAAACTGAGGAGTAAGATGAAGCACAAGTGGAAAGACATTAATGCTCTGCACCTGGATTTTGACAACCTCTCTCGGTCCCAATGCCCTGAGCGCCCGCCTTGTGCCACACCAAGCCCTCGTGCGGCGCTGGTGCCTGGCTCGTCTCCTGGGCGACCGTGTCAGGTTGGGGAACACCGTTGCATTTTTGAGGGATCCCCGAGACGGCCCATTGGGTTGGATGCACCGAATTCAGTAAAGCTGCTAAGATGTGCATGTCAGCCACCCACTTGTTGCCATCATGGCCACCGTGCACCACAAGTCGCGAATCCACCACTGCCTCGCAAGTGACTCAAGTGACTCAAGTGACTCCCCGCGTCCATATCAACGTGGCCCTTCCCGTGCTAGCCGTGCCAGTGTGCCAAGTGCGCTTTTCTCATGCGCATGGGGCCGTGAACATCCAGGCGAAATCGTGGTGTGTGCCAACATCAGCTGCGCAGCTGCCCGGGTCTGTTGCTCATTCCCTGCACGTTCCGCTGTTTCCTAGTGGCATTGCAACCAGAATACGAGCGTAACACTCGGCTGGTTGAATGTGTATGTTGACCCATGAGTGTTGAGGTGTGTTCAAAATAGTCAGGCCATAGTCACGTATCACACCGGTTACATCACCGCCAAATCAAGTCCCGGATCAAGCAAACAAAACCTCGCCAACTCTCGGGAGCACTCCCCACCCATTCCCACTGGCCGTGGTGTGATTGTTCCGCGCGGAGGGCGCGCTGCCGGAAGGTAGCACCTGCACAAACACAAAAGCACGCAAGGTCAACATGAAACATTGGAACACGTCAGTTGTTACAAAATTAGAGGCCGTGTATCCCGAAGCACTTTGCGGCAACAAGCAAGCTGAACACCTTAGAGCAGACCGCATCTTCGAGAAGGCAAATGCCCCTTCATCGAGTAAGCCCGTATTCACGATGTCTCAGGAAGCAAGCCTGAGCCTGGCCCCGAGCAAGTGCCGCTTACATGGGTCCTTCTGTGTTTCTCCCTCCATGAGTTGATTGCCTCAGACCAAGTGCCGGAAGCCACGTCCAGCACGTGCAGGTCGTTGAGCGCCCGCTTGCCATTCCAACCCCCAAAGAGGTAGAGGCCTAGAGGCGAACAGCAAGACATGTGCTCCAACTGTCTGAAAGGCCAGGCGGGTTGTCCTCGAGCTGTTGGCGAAATTGCCGGGCGAAATTGCCGGGTGCAGCTTTGGAACCTGTGAGCACATTGCTGGGCTTCCGGCGGCCATCGATAATGTCACCTGACTGAACTAATCTCTCTCTCTCTCTTTCTCTCTGTCTCTCTCTGTCTCTCTCTCTTTATGTCCACCAACCACTCTTGAGGTTCCCTATGACAAATCATAGCCATATGAACCATTCTTGAGCCTAAGAACCTGCCTCCCACTGCAGAATCCCAAGTCAGGCCAAGTGGATCCAAGTGGCATGAATGCGCTGCCCGAGGACCGGGGCAATTCTTTGTCTCCAATTCCGACCTCGAGTTGTGTTGGTGCTGTCAGATTTGCCAAGCACAAAGCCAGAATAGCCAGAATCAATCCATTGTCATTCGTAGCCAGAAAGGCTCAGCAAACCCTTACCCTGTGCGCGTGGGGGGAAGCGATCCGGAACTGGCCAAATACATTAAGCATGCGGCCAAAAGGTGTACATTTCGGACAAAGCCTGGCAACGTGCCGCTGATGAATCAACATCTCGCATTCGACAGAGAAGTTACCCTCCTGGAACAATTAACTCGTGTTTTGAAGTTGGCCCAAAAAAACACGTTGGAGTCGCGGACAGAAGGCACTTCCCTTGAGCTTCTGCTCCCTGAGAATTTCTGGCCGAACGACGGATCTCTGGAGCTGCCAAGAACACGCCTGCACGCCACCGAGGCGAAAATCAGGCTTGCACCCGGCTGGAGCTATGAAATGACTGCGAGTGTGAGTCTCAGCTCTTAAAATGCTGATGTGATTGATGACTGGTAAAGTTGGCCTGAACTGCTTCAGGTTTCACACCTGCTGCATTTGAGCCGGGACAGGCATGTGTATAGAGGTTAGCGGTAACATGCATTGCAATTCATGTTGGCGACAACAAGTCAAACTAGTTAAAGCAAGGTGTTTAGCGTGTGGATCGATTCTGTGGACGGTCAGCAAGATCAGGTCCAGCACGAAAACAAAGTCTTCAAAAGTTGGCAAAACATCGCCAAGTCCTAGCAAGAACCAGTTTGCCAAGGATGTGATGATGACGACGACGGTGATCGTGATGATGATGAGGGTGACTTGCCGCTTTCGCAACCCCACAGGCCAGCGTCTGCCCCTCTTTTCCCTGCACAGCTTCTACCTTTGTGTTCGGCGAGAGGGACCTGCAGCAATTGGCTGCACGAAAACAAGCGAGGGCACTACTATTTGGACAATCAATCTCTCTCCCTCTCTCTCTCTCTCTCTCTCTCTCTCTACTGCGCAAAATCATGATGCGCCTGTCCAAGACTTGATTCACCCTAAGTCAAGGAAGGTGATTCCATCATGCACTTGTCTTTTCCTGACCACCTGCAACCTAGCAGTATGCTTCCTAAAGACAGGCCTCTCAGCTGACCACGTAGTCTGTAAGGTTCTCAGAAGATCCTGCAGACTCCGGTTTTCAGCAGGTAGCTGTGCGCGTGATTGAAAATGCATCCCAAAGAGCGTGCATCTGTGGCGGCAGCATGCTTTTTCTTCTCATAAAAGCTTAAACAAAGTCTCTGGCCTTTTCAATGCCTAAGCTGCCGTCAGTCCAACACTCAAGATTTGTCCTCCTGGAGCCGGAGACTTCGGCGCAAGCTTCCTCGGTGATAAGGTGAGAAGCATGAATCAAGTCCATGTGAGGCAAACCATGAGTCCACGTGATATATGAAATTTCGGTTCTTCCAGACATCAGTGGCGGCTGAGCCTCGCGCTTGTCCGCCTGAAGCGGTTTGACATCCAAGAGATGCGGAAAGTCAAAGGACCAGGAGGTATACGACGGTGCTTTCCCGATTGTGTTCAATGCACAACCCTTCACGAGCCTTCTTTACGCGTTTGGGCGGTGGTGGCCGCTCGCATTCTGGCCTGGGCGGTGCACTGCAGCTGAAACTGATTCCTCGACTGGTTCCTATCCCCATCGAATCTGGGTCTCGGCAGAGCCAGAAGCTTTCTTCATTGGCTCCTGGCCACCTAAATCAAGTAGATGGCCGGAGTAGTGTACTGGGTATAGAAAGGAGAACAAATCAGCATCCAAAGGTATCAAAAAGAGCCGAGCTGGCAATTTAGCGCATGCAAGCTGAATGAACCAGGATTCAACCCAAAAATTTCGTGTGCAATAGCATGTGCAAAACCTACCAAACACCCACGAGTGAAAGCAGGGCACCCGGCGCGTCGTAGAAGTCTGAGGGGTGCTCAACACGCTCAGGGTCGAACACCTCCTTTCAGATCTGGGACGTATCAAACTGTTGACGCTTTCAGAAACAAACAGTATTTGTGAGGACTCATGGTAGCAAAATAAACCTTGCCCACGCTGCACAAGCCAATGTGCATTTTGCTGGTGCTTGCATGTTTCATCCCAGCCTGAACAGACTGCTTGGGCAGTCCGGACAGCGACAGCCGGGCTGCACTTTTGAAGTCTCCCACATAAACTCATTTCAGGGAGAGCCAAGAAGCACGAAAAACAACCGACACATCGTTGGGTCACTCCCGAAAAGATCTTTTCATGCCCGAGTTTGTCGCGGACTTGACCTTGAAGATCAGTTTGGCAGGCATGGCTGGCGGTTCTTGAAAGTCAGGGAAGAGCAGTTCTCGAGCAGTTCTCAAGTATGTGTATATATATATACATTTATGTACGTGTAAATATGCGTGTATATATATATATATATATACATATATATATATATGTATTATACCGCATACTATGCTCCCACATCTTTGCCAAAGCACCGGTTGGGTGCGCTTTGACTTGGGAGGACTTCTTTCAACCAGCTTGGCACTTCCGGGTGACCTTGCATTCCCTGACCTTCCACACATTCGGCACAGTCGGGTCCTTGGGGAAATTGGATCCGTACTGCTGCAGACCCATCTCCTCTAGCCAATGCTCAACTCGCGGACAAACTCAGCAAACTCAGTTTAAAAAAAGACGACATGCACGATAGACGATGGGAAGCTGCGTTGCTGTGGCTCGGCAATTGGAAAGCAGCCGGGCAGAAAATATCCCGCAAGTGTCTTCCTGAGGGCAATCAAACGAAACCTACCAGATTCCAGGTGTGAGTCTTAACTACTACTGAAAAGCTGCAGCATTGAAGCGGCTCGCTCTGCTCTGTCACGCAGGTAGTTTTCAAAGGCTCCTGGACCAGCCTCTCCAGAATGTATGGGTTCGACCAGTCTCTTGATGCCTCAGGCGTGCCAAGTTGCATTCAGCCGAATTGACGAAGTTGCCACAGTTCAAACCAAGTGTGGCTCATGTGCTGCATGTCGCCTCTGGACCCAGGCAAAAACCTAGCTTGCAAAAGTTGAGAACGCTTTCTCCTATCGGTCATCTGTCTGGGTCAGCCGTTCTCAGAGGCAATTTTGGGAGTGTGCGTCAAAGCCATGCAGGCTTTGCAGCCAGCGCCAAGCAAACGGCGAGAAAATTGATTGCATGCACCGAACTCAATGAGCAAGCATGATCACCCTACTTGACTTCGTCGACAAGATCAAGCCAAACAAGAGTGTTCAAAAGCTCCATCTGACACCTGGCCCACCAGTCAAGGACTCTGCTTACCACAGAATCTGAGTGCCCCCGCGGGTGGTGGACCTACAGCAGGTCGCTGCCGAGCCTTCGGAGCAAACACCAATCGTCATGCAACTGTTTGTAATAAATCAAGCAATCAATCAACCAACCAATCAACCAATCATCAAATTGCACCCTTGGGCATCGTCACATTTGCGAGGATCACTCCCTTAAGACTAGACTCCCAGACCCTTGCGAAGGTCAAGAAAGCACTTGCTTGATTGATTGATTGATTGATTGATTTTTTCATTGATGAACACCTGATCAAAAGAGACATTTCGAAGAGGGTGGTAAACGCGACAACATCACTCGTGGTCCATCTAAACAGCAGAAGGAGAACCTCTACAAAACAAAGTCGAAAGGGTGAGCTAGAAACCCTGATGAGATCTTGCACACAAAAACAGGTTCCAAGGTTCAGTTGCATCAGCTGCCTTTTGAAGAGGTAAATCGCGTGACTATGGATGGCTGCTCATGAGTGCCCTTTGTGAATCCCAGCTCTCAGCACCGCACGCTCATCACTGCCACAGGCGGGGATACCGTAACAGGCTTGGCAGGCCTGAGGTCCTGGAGAAGCTTCAGAAGCTGTTGACAAACAGCAGCACAAGCGAATATGGCCACATGCGCCGAAGAGTGTCACCGGGCAACTACAACCAAAGCCGCCTGCACTGCCTCTGGCGGTGAACCGGAGGGGGGCGATGAGGAGGGTGGAGATGCCTGCGCTTCCAAAAACAAAGTCAGTGTTCAAAGCCTTGCCTCAACAAGCTAGTTACATACCAGCGATGTACAAATACCGTCCTTCGGAGCAGGAGCTGCTTCTACCTAGGGCCAAAGCAATCGACCAAACAAACTCTCCCTCTCTCTGTCTCTTTTTTTTTTCTCTCTCTCTCTCTCTCTCTCTCTCTCTCTTTCTTTTTGCGTCTCGTCTGAGTTGAGCCGTGGCATATTGACTGCGACTGTGTTTCTGAACATGCCCCAAGCGCGCCTTGGCATTGCCGTTGGCAGCTGGAGCCTGATGGTTTAGGCGAAGGGTGCGGCACCGCTTTCGTTTTCCGTGAAATGATTCACGGTCCAAACTGCAAACTGCCAAAACATATTTGCATCATGCTGCGTCTTTCCTGGAAATGCAAGCAATACAAGCTAAAGCAAAATCATCAAGCATAAGTATCACAAACCAGTACTGCAAATGGAATTTATTGCAATTCTGTGCAACTTTGCTGAAGGAAGCTGCAGGTCTGGCCTCAGGTTCCTCCTCGTCGGAGTCCTGGCCAAGGTCAATGCTCGCACGCCACTTTGCCCAGAAAGTATCAAAGGCTGTACGACTGTACAAGAAAGCCACCGGTGCCGCGCGGGAGGGAGTGACCACCGCGAGCCTCGTAGTTCACCAGCCCCAGCATGGCGTTCACAAACCCGCAGTCTGCATTTGGACTCCAGCAGCTAGTGAATTCAGGCGAAAGCTGCAGTGGCTGTGATTTAATGTCTCCGTATGGTTCATGCCTATTTTGACTTTTCTCGGCCAATGAGTTGCTATGTCATTTGCACACCACCTAGTGCAAGCGGCTGCTCCAATATGCGGCTATCCAAGTGCTGACACATAAGGTGTGGGTGATGATTGATATTAAGCATCTTGCAGTGGAATGAGGAGCTTGTCTTCAATGATGCTGGTCTTAAAACTGTGAGGCCTGCCTGCTTCTTTTGCAATGCAAATCTCTGAGCACAAATGTTGTTCAACGGCTAGTAGCAGGGCTGTGGGGAATGACCACTTCTGTGATACAACAGAACGGGCTTCCCAACGACTATTTTGTTCATAGAAAGGGCAATCTTTGATGATTTGTCCTCGGGAATCCAGCCAACAGGGCAGGCTTCCATGCAATTTCCATGAGCGCTCAGACGAACGGCAACGCCCGAAGATTCGATTTTCACGCAGCGAGCGGTCTGCTCACATTGTCCTTGATGTGTGGTTAGGTGCGCCAAGCTGGGAGCGTATGCAGCTTGCCGAGTCACACAAACACACATTGAGAAACTCCATACGCGTGCTCTAAATTGGGCAGGCTGGCCAATTCAAGGGTGCCTGACTGATGGCAAAATGGGCCTTTGCGCCTACCTCATGCAATCTCGTTGAAAAGAGAGCGCTGGTCTGCATTCATGCAAACAGGCTCTCTGCCGGAGAGAAGAAAACTTAGCCCTGGAGCTGGTTTTGAGTCAAATGAAACAAGTATGCCTGAGCAAATCAATGACAAGTTGGCCAAGCCGGGCTCAACTCCAGCATCGCAAGGCAAAACTGAGCAGCTATGCGGCATAACCACGCCATAGGAGGAGCAGCCCAAACACGCTCACGGTCAGTCGAGGCGTTCCCAAACTCTGCCTGGCAGGAAGCCAGTGCTCATGCTCATGCGCTAGGGCATTAGTGATCTGTTTGGCAAGACTGTTTGGAAAGTAACAGTTGTAGTGGTGCATCATAATACTGTTGTGCTCAATCTGGGGCAATTGCACTCGGTATTTGGGTCATGGTATGTCGGCTCGGCGACAGTCTGTCACAGCAAAGTGATTCAAGTCATAAAAGGGTGAAGATGGTGAAGCAAATCACACTGTGAAAGCTGTGAATCGTGCTGCATCATGATCAACACTCATCACATTGAGATGTCTGAAACTACAATTGCCAAGCTTGTTTGGTGTCAGTGAATTATGACTATGACACACAAAGAAAGCGCACTGCAGCTTGCAAAGTGGCATCACAACTCAGCTGCTCGCCAGTTGGTGGTTTGGATTCAAGCCACCAACTAAGGGTTACCTGAACAACAGCATGCCGCAAGAAGAAGAAACAAAAGTTGAAGAAATGCTCGATCAGCGTCCACATATTTCAAGCTTGTGTGTATGTGTCTCTGTTTGTGTGTGTGTGGGTCAGAATGACTTATGCAGAATGCCAGCGTCTTCCACAGTTCACCAAATCCCCTGCCTTCATCTTCGTTGTTCCTGGCGAGCACCAAATGATGCAACCAAATGATTGGTTCAACCATTGGTTGGCACATGTTGAAGATTTGCGCCACGCAAGCACTCGCCCGCGCCTGCCGTTCAGTGCCTGGTAGATGTCATGTTTCTCTTCTTGAATGCCTTTCTGCCTGGACCAAAGATCTGTTCAGGCCCTGAATCGCTGAATCTCGGCCTTCTCGGCCCCTCATCACCAAATCAAGGGGGATTGGGAGATGTTTGGTTAGGGAGCTGTTGTTCACAAGTCAATATCACTGGAGGCAAAATATTGACAAAGCTTCTCCTTGAGAACCCGCGGCTTCCACCAGAATGTAAAAATATGGATCATGCTCAGCATCCTGATCAGATTCCGAAAGATGTGCGACGCTATGATGTTCAAAACTGTGACGGGGGCAGTCGTCAGTACGACACAATGAATGATCCTTGCTGTTCTGACGGTTGCACTTTCTGAAACACACTGGCCTTTGCTCCGCCTCGTTGTTTGCAGAGAAGAGCTTGAAAAAGTACACATTCCTTGTGCGCAGCACTGCTAAACAAAGCTTCTGGCATTGCAGTGAGCGCGCAAAGCCAATGTTGCAGGCTCCGTCTCAACGGCCCCAAACACAGTCGCCCCAGGCAAGCCAGATCGCATCGGTCTGCCCAGGCTCCGATGCTTGGAGCTGAGGCGGTGAATGCGGTTTAAGGCCTGCAGCTCAGCCCTTGGCATGCAGAACTTCACTGCTTGTGCTGTCATGCTGCTCTCAATTGAGAGTGGGAAATTGCTGCAAACTCGAATCCGTGCGAAGGCCAGTCAGCCAAGTGTCGCAGGGTTCCACCACCAGTCCAAAAGGATGGCCACTTGCGCTGCTGGTAGATTGATTCCTGTGGCCGGCCAGTGAGCCACAGCAACTGACATGCCAGGCTTTGCATGCTAGAGAGCTTGGGGACCAGCCTGTACCTCCGCACTTCATCCCAAGAAGCATGACCTTCTTGGAAGGATCGGTGTTGAAGCTTTCAATTACCTGGCTCCGACCGCCACAACTCCGAAGCTCACCTCAAAGGGGGGCAAGCCCAGAATTTGTTAGTTGCTCCCGCGCCAAGTTGCAGCTAAGCGCTTGTCATGCTCGACAGACTGATCAATCTTGCAATACCTCAAGCGGCAAATCTACGGCAGGCGAAAAAAGTCAACGCGTGATCAAGAAGCCAAGGGTAGCAGATCTGATGCCTAGAATTGGCTGTGGCTCAAAAATGTGGGCCCAAAATGGAACCCTGGTAAATGGAAACATGGACTAAAATCTGCGGTCCCCTCGCGGTTTAATTTTGACCCATGCCCAATTCACATTCTACAGCTCAGTGTTCAGCCCAAGCACTCCACCTGCATGTCTTCCAGCAGCTTCTCGGCCAGCTGGAAAGTTCGAGTGGTGAGTGTGGTGATCAGCACAACTTTGGTAAGCCTTTGCTTGTCTGCGAGATTCGAGATGAGCATTGCTTCGCAAGCCAGCGTCTAGCCAACCGCAGCTGGTAACAGCCAGTTTGCTAGCCAAGCTACAGCCAAGAGCTGCAGTCCCCGAAAGAACACCAGCCCAGCTTCAGAAAGTGGCAAGCTCCCAACCAAATGGACAAGTTTGAAAGTGAAAGGCGAGTTCTGCCAAGCATCTCGTGGGTGTCCAACGGCCTGAAATAAGATTCATGTTCAGACGTCCATAGTCCAGCATATTGATTGTCTGGAGGTTGCCCGGTGCATTCCTGGGGAGCCGAGCGTAAGCGAAGCGGGTCGCACAAATATGTTTTTAATCTTAGAGCACGATCAAACTGCACCAAGACAAACATGTCGCACCTAAGCAGATCTGCAGGCCATAATCAAAACGGACAGCAAACAACTTTTGCAATCGCCCTGACATCTTTCCGCCCAATGGCCGGAGACAGGTTGGGGACTCTCTGGCCCATGTCACAATGCTGCGAGGTATCAATTTCATTTTCGTTGCTCAAGTCATTCTCCCAAATGTCCTCCAGCTGCCGCCTCAAGGCCCGCCATTTGCCTCAGCTATCAACAAAATGAGCGGCCTGTGCATGCATCATGCGTGGAAACTACGAGGAATGACAAATCAATGTATTGTGCCCATATCAGCACGGGACTGCCAGCAGCTCCAGTTCTTGTTCGTTTGACAACGCTCGTGTCCTTCCGAAACATGCAGCAAAGTCACTGGACTGGAGAAGCTTGCGTTTGTCTGCTTCAATCCACGCACGCTCGAAAAGGAACTTCTGCAGGCACCATTCCCTGCCATCCTGGAGAGTGTGCGGTGAAATCAGCTCCTGCTTTTCATTCCTGGCCCAACAAAGGTTGTCTGAGCTCTCCACATCCCTCTTCTTGAACTTGAGCCCTTGTCAACACGAGTTGTGCCCTTCCAACTCAGTTAGAGATGTTAGAGATGCCCTAGCATGTTCACCTGCGATATGATCCACTCGCCTCATCCATCTTCTTGGGTCGAAGTCTTTGACCTAGGCCACCTTCGGGTATGGGCCGCGCTGAAATTTCCAGGATCTGCTCCAAGGAGCTCTGCTCGAGCTTAGCCTCGGGGTCCAAGAACACACAGGGGGCACGCCATTGTTCCTCATGATTGAGGTGTCCCTTGTGCGCTCATCTGTAAATCCCAAAAGTTCTCGACTCTTGACTCGGCAGGGTGCGCCTGCAGTACAAGTGGCTCACTCTGGGCTGTAACCCATGTTCATCAACGCCGAGCACTTGTGCGCCGACAGAGCGGCAACAAATGCTGGTCGACCAGCTTCGTCTCAACAGTGCTAGTACTGCGAAAAAAGCAAACAAAGGATCATGTTGGTCGTTACCTATGTCACCTCCCACTGTGTTGCCATGATGTTGCCCCCCCCCCCCGCTTCTCGCCATCCAGCCACGTTGGCCGAACTCCGCGGAGGCGCCAGGGCTGCCGCAGCCTGCGCTTGGCGCAGGATCTTCACCAGCTCCGGTCCCGGCAGCTCCTGCCATGAGCTGCGGCCGTTTCAACTCCATGCCGAGGATCAATCAACGTATGGAGCAGCATTGGGCTCATGCTGTATTTCTTTTCCTCTGCATCACATAAGGGTGATTCTGTGTTAGGGAGTTGACCCAAACAGTACACAGCAGCAATTTCGCACACAGCAGCAATTTCGCGAGACACACCAAGCAGCCGTCCAGGAAGGGAAAGTGCTGTCAAGCACACCATTCTAGCATCACTTGTAGCCCTAGGCGCTGGCTTCGTGTTCTAGGCATGGCTGCCGAGGAACCGCCTACCACCGAAAAGTCTGGACGGCTTTTCCTTTGCTTGACACCTTTTCCTCTGCTGGCCAGCTTTCTGCCTGCTGGACGGCTGGTTCCTTGCTGGGCAACTTTTCCTTTTGGGCGACTTTTCGACCTGCCAGACAGCTCTTCCTTTGGACAGATTCTCCTTTGATGGACGGCTCTTCCTTCACTGGGCGTCTCTTCCTTTTACCCTTTTCCATTGCTCAACAACCAGCACAGTCTGACTCGGTCTGACCCAAGATGGGCAGCCTGCGGCGTTCTCCACGGTGCTCCACTTGCACGAAAGTCAAAGGGCCTTCTGGCGCCAGAGCGCGGGTTCAAGAAGCCACGCTGCGGATCTATGATGCATTGCTTTGCTAGTACTGCCCCTGTTTCTTGCTCAAACAGCTTATATATTTGCATAGATTGTCACTACATGAGTTGTATAATTTTGCAGTAACTACTAGTGTTTCCTTTTTGTAGTTCACAAAGCTGTCTTGGTAACCGCCTGCTCTCGCGATTTCGCATGTAGCCATTCGCAACTCTCGCCACTAGATGCATTGGGCGCTGTTGGTGAGAACTTGCGCTTGGCAGTTCAGTCCTCCTGCAACAACTGCAACTCCTTCTGCTTCTCAAAATCATCCATCTCACATTCCTCTGTGCATTTGCAAAGCGGGGGATTCCAGGCATGGAGGCTTACAGTTCCCATGTCGTTGTTAGATCCCAGGCAACGTTTTGCTCTCCGCGTCGGAAATCAGGGGACCCCAAATGGAGGTTGCCCTTTCGGCGTCTCTTTAAAGCAGCCTGAACAGTGTACCCCTCACAAAAACGCACCCTTCCTTCAACGGTTTACGCCGAGTCTCGATAAGGCAAAAGTGCGGTGTGGGTAGGTTCGGCAGCTTGGATTTGTCTCGCCGCAGCATTGTCTCACGAAAGCACCTCTTGAAGTCCGGGTCATGCTGCGGCGACAAAGGAGCCTTCGGGCGACAATATCCTTGGCACCCCGTTGTCACATTGAGTCAGTGTGCGCCAAAGCTCGACCATCTCAACCCTGAAAAAGCATTAAACATCTACATGATTGCATAGACAAGAATCTCCCAACGTGGTTTTCGAACCAGTCAAGCTGGCAGTACGGTTCTGCTTGTAGAAAGGTAAGCAAAGAAAAGTAGTCAGTGATCGAGTTCTCCACAGGTGTTCCGGTGATGCACCAGCGGATATCCGTCTGCTTTCCCAAAAGCTCGCACGCTTTCGCGCAGAGTGGCTGCCTGCCCTTTGAGCACAGGTTCTTCATAAAGTGGGCCTGTTCAGTGATATCACACGGTGTTTACATCTTCAGTCACTTTAACAAGAAGGAGCAGCGGAACAGTATCCGCTTCAAAACAGCTACAGTGAACAGCAATTGCGTGCCCCCAGCCTCGTCACACACAATGCGCCCGAAATGCCTGTTCAACAGCTGCGAATCAGGATTTGCTGCCCGTTCTTCTCCAGCTTGTTCACCTCAGTACATCAGCACAGCTTGACGGCCAGGCTGGCTGACATGCAAGCCTTGAAGACTGCCGCCAAGCGCAGCCATGCAACCGCACAAGTCCTCCACATTGATATCTCGCTTTCGAGCTTCCAATTCAAGCATGTGCAAGTTCCACGTTGGCTCTACGTAGCAATGCTCCGACAAAGCCTGACTTACCAGCCGCGCACGTTGTTCTGGTGTCATGGATGTCTTGACATAGACGTCGGGCTCCAAAGACTGTGGGTTGACGAGAACCTTGAATTGGCAGCCATTGCTACCGATCGAATGACCACCTCATGGGACAAAAACAAAACAACTGATCTAGACTGGAAGCTGATCAATCCAGAGTATCATAGCGCTGTATCAAAAGACTGCTTCCAATGTTCCGTTCACCAAGAAGCCAGCGAGTTGTCAGGGAGCTTTTTTGGCAAAATGCGCTTGTCCTTGCGAATCTGATGATAGTCGTAGATCTCGAAAGTCCCGCTGGCAAAGAAACCAGCGGAGTCATCAATCCAGATTTGGAAGGCTTGAAGGGGGCAAACCAGAAGTGTTGGGTACTTGTTAAGTGACATTGCACATAGTGTCTGGAGCGTCTTTCCCAGGCCCATTTCATCTCCCAAAATGCCGCCCTTCCAGCCCTCTTGCTTCTCCTTGTCGCGCATCCAGGCGATACCGGCAAACTGCAAGAGCTCAATTTGAACTGGCTGGCCATCCCGCAGCTCTTTAAGCAGCCCGGCATTGTGAAGCTCTTCCTCAAGCAATCCTATCTCTGGCATCTCAAGATCATCTTGAGTAAAGTGTCTCATCAGCTCTTTCGGCTCGATGCTCTTGAAAGCTGGAGCTGACCGAGCCAAAGAGGGCGTTGTGACGGGCGCCGCCGGCGCGTCCGGCGCAGCCGGCGCAGCTTGGATGTAGGGAGCTGTGCCTTGCGGCGAGGCAAGCGATGGAGCTGCTCGAGCTTGAGCTCGAGCTTGCTCTATCCTGAGATGAATGGAATGGTTACCTCAAGACGAAGACGTGTCATATATTTGCAGGTTTACTATTAACGCAGCAATCTCCACTCCTACTGAAAGCAACAAACTGCCGCGTGACGCAAGTCTGATCTAGAGTTACACACAAAGGGGCACGAGAAATGACAAAGAGATGCACGAAAGGGAAACAAGGAAGGACCGATGCCATCCACAAAAAATAGACCACGGTTGGCCCGAAAGCATAACATCGCAAGCGAGGTCGGCCCAACGCCTCGGACATGCGCAAGCTGCTCTGCGCAAGTTGCTTTGCGCAAGTTGCTCTGCGCAAGTTGCAGTGTGTGCAAGTTGCTCTGCGCAAGTTGCTCTGCGCTCGAGTTTTTGCGTCGCGCGCGAGCACCGCAGAAATCTCAAAAACCTCGAGTTTTTATACCTCGAGTTTTTGCACCTCGACCACGCCGATCCCCGCAGAGGGTCGCGGGAGCCAAAAAAAACGCAAAAAACCTCGAGCTTTTGCACCTCGACCACGCCAATCCCCGCAGAGGGTCGATTTTCGTAGAGTGTCGTCGGCACTACCCCGCCGCCCTAAGAAGATATTTTAACTCCTGGCAAGTCAATTGCACTTGACTCCTTGCGCTTGCAACTTGCACTTACTTGACTCCATGCACTTGGCTCCTTGCAACTTGCAATGGCTCTCATGACTCCTTGCAATGACTCCTTGCAATGACTCCTTGCAATGACGATTCCTTGCAATGACACCTTGTAATGACTCTCATGAGAACAACTCAAGTGAACCCAGCGGAAGAACCCTTCGCAATGCTTTCGGGAAAACGGCAGACAAAAACACTAATACAAAAAAAAATAACAAAGGCAAGCGTCTCTTGAACCATCTGCACCTTGGTCCGTCTGTTGTGGCCGCCAATATCCTGCCTCACAGCTAGGCCCTCCCTGTCAATCAGCGCCTTGAGCTCCTGCAACTTGAGGCCATGCAACCCGGACCTCGGATCCGCTCCATGCGCGGGTCTTGCCATTGATGTGTGGAACATGGAAAGGATCGACTCTTGTCTGTGGTCCACTTTTCTTAGGAATCCAAAAATCGCGGCTTGCTTCAAGGCGTTGCCCAACCCTTGACATTGCTGGCATGCTCGAGGAGCCCACATCATATCCTTTGAGCGAAGGAATGAATGCGTTTGCGGCAAGCATCAGTACTGCCGAGCAGCGAAGCTGCTGAGCCTTCGCCTGGAATAAAAATTGACAAGGTGGCTCAAAGTTTCAGGGCTTACGCGGGGCATACTCTTTGGTTCTTTTTACCAAGTGCCATTTTGGCACATGTTTTGAGCAGCCGCAAAATGCGGTAGAGTCATCCATCATGGGGGAAATCCAGTGGGATCAATGGGCTTGCATGTGCTGAAGGTTCCGTATCAAGCGCCTTGTGATCTGGGGTGCAAGCAACACATGCCCTAGCGGATTGAGCATGTCCATACATTGTTCCCTTGGCTCAAAATCTGGCCCGCCTGCGCTTCTCATGGGATGTAATGTGGCACTCGGGAGAAAGTGCTAGAGCCCAACTGCTGCAAGTCAGGTCGGGGTGCGGCCGTCTAATCAGCAGCGTGACATGAGAGCAGCTGCTCCCTCGCCAAGGGAATTCGGAATTGCAGAACGACCAAACTTGTTGAGATGTGAGAAGACCAATCTTCCGATAGCAGTGAACACTTCCCGTACTGGTACATGCTACCACTACGTTCTAATTCTAATCATGTTGAACATATGATGCACAAGAGGGGGGAGATGAAATGACACGCGTGGCTGGACAGCAGGCTAGCCTTTCCCGGCGAGTTTCTGTACATGTCATGCAGCTGCAGCCAGAAATACGGCCAAGCTGACACAAACTGCAAATGGCAAACATGCAAGCTGGGCTGGGCTGGCTAGCTGGGCTGGCTAGCGCGTCCTGCACTTGCAGCGAATGTTTGTGGCACTGCACATCGTACCACAATAAAGCTCCTATCGTTCCCCCACACAGCCTGGCGCTGGCTGTCAGATACATGGCTGTCACAGCCAGTACTCCTGGTCCTCCTCAGGGTCGATGGGTGGTTGATCAGTTCGGAAGACGTCAAGCAAGTGCCGCTGGGCTCCTGGTCGAATGTGGCCACCACCATGTGGATGCCCCCAAGCCGTTACCGTGCCATCCACATGCAGCGCCGCGAAGGCGCTTGCTGATGCTGCGATTTGTTGGACATCCTTCAGGTCTGGGCTGGCGCTGCCGCCGCCGTACAACGGGTCCCCCCATGTAAACACATTGCTGTCAGACATCAACGCTGCAAATGCAACCGCAGAGGCGTGCAAGCGCTCGACTCCATGCGCCTGTACGAATGGGCCATTTCCACCCCAGCACACAACACTGCCATCCATCCGAAGAGCAGCAAATGCGTTCGTCGAGCCACACACCTGGCGAACCTGTCTCAGATCCCTCTGCACATCGCTACTCTCACCTCCACAAAGGGCGCCACCCCATGTCACAACAGTTCCGTCTGTTCGCAAGGCAGCAAAAGCATCGGCCGTGGAAGAGATCGCTTGCACGTGCTCGAGCCTTTGTCGCACATGGCTGCTGTCACCACCCTGTGCAGCGCATCCCCATGTGACAACATGCCCACTCTGCAGGATGGCTGCGAATGCGGTGTCGGTGGCCGAGATATCGGCTACATTCAGCAGGAGTTTCTGAACTGGCTTGCTGTCGCCGCCTGAAGACGAATTGCCCCAAGATACCACGGATCCATCTCTGCGAACCGCAGCAAAGGCACTCTCAGAAGCGTAAACAGCGTGTACATCACAGAGTTGCGGCTGGACCCAACGGCTGTCCCCCCCTGCATTGCTGGCACCCCAGGTAACCACTGAGCCATCAGCACGAACTGCCGCAAATGCAGTAGCTGTAGCACAGATGGAGGTCACATTCGTCAGTTGCGCCTGCACTGCGCTGTCCAGGCTACTTCCGGGTCCGCGACCCCACGTAACTACTCGCCCATCCTCCCGGAGTGCTGCAAAAGCATCCCCGGAGGCGCAAACTTCTCGCACGCCCCGGAGCTCCTCCTGCGCCATGCGGCTATCGCCGCCAGAGGAGTAGTCCCCCCACGTGACAACTGAACCATCGCCTCGTATCACGGCAAAAGCGACAGAGCGCCTGCTGGAAACAATGCTAGCGCGCCCAAACGTGCCCATGACAAGATCCCCGTCACAGAGGCCTGCATCTTCGACCGTGAGCGTGTCGTCCAGCAATCCGCCGTCAAGGTGGACCAGGTGAGATATTCCCCTTCGAAACTTCTTCTGTGCACTCTTCCTCAACTCGCCCACTTTCTCACCTTCGCCCACAAGAACCGAGACGGACTGACCACTGAGCACTGTCACATCAATCATACACGGCCGCTGTTTCGCCATGTCTGACTGCTGGCAACCGAGCAGTTGTAAGCTGCTCAAACAGAAACAACTGCTCGAAGAGTCCTGAAATGATTCTCTGACGTGTCTCCGTGGTTGTGCAGCCTGTGAGTGGAGCTGAGTCAATACGGAACATCTGCTGCGGAAATAGGATTGGTACCGCCGTCTCAACCAGTGCAACAAAGTTCCGGCGTAGAGATGAAATATGACCGACCCTGGCATGCACAATGTACTAGCAAAAATTAAACAACTGGCAAAATAAATATCACCATTACTTGCGACAGCTGTCTGAAGAAGTGTGGCAGCAATGAAGCAAGTGTCTAAATAATTATTGTATGCATTAAACAATTATCTACAGCATTGCGCCGCCAGCAACAAATGAATTGAATACTGCTTTGAACTGGATGACAAAGGATATGCCTGAGCGGGCTTTCTAAAAAGACGTGATTTACTACCATGTTGAACTTCGATCCTACTGAGGCTATGGCAAGGTGCTGCAAACCAGATACATCTTAAGCTAGGGTATGGCAACAGAATATGATGGAAAACAAGTATACCAAACTACGATGCCTCTACTAAGGAACGACGATCTCTGTCTCCAAGATACTGCAAAATGCGATGGCAGGCTTTGGGACATGTATAGATTCAACTCAACCTTTGCAGGTTTGGACGCGACGCACACCAAATACTGGCCAAATGGGGAGACTTCAAATCCCCAGCGAGCTCTCTTTCTCCGCGCATCTCGGATGTCAGTCTGATCTGACTCAGTTGTTGCTCAGATCCCGGGATCCTCTCACTCACTGCCCACTACAAAAGCGCGAATTTTGAAAATGGCTGGGCCAAGGATCTCTGAATCTTTCGCCCCTGACATGGTTGCCCAGGGACACGTCGAAGTTGGACAGTGACTGGCGTTCAGATTGAGTCACTTACCTGACAAAGAATTGCACATTGCCAGCAAGATTACCTTCCCAGCCTCTCGTTGACTTTTAAGCGTCAAGGAGATCTGTGCTGCAGTGTTCTCCTCTGCAACCAGTCAATCTGCCGCCTGCCCTCCAACCTTGTGACACGTTGGCCCGCGTCATAAACTTTGGCGCTCCGCCAAACCGACACGGGGCATGTGGGAAAAGACAACCCGGCCACCCAAAGCGCACCTGTCTGCACTGGCGGGTGACTGGGGCCAATCCAAAAACGCTGCATGGCGATTGAAACCATTTGAATAAATCAAACAAGAAAACACGTCGATGAAGCCTGACCTTCTTTGCCATCCAGTCCCCTGGCACAGCAAGGCAGGTATGCCTGGCAAACGGTGTTATGTCATTTGTGACGAAAATCGTGACCACTGCCTCTCTTCAATGCTGCTCAAAATCCGAAACAAGCAGGACCATGCGCCGCTATCACGCAAGAAAAGCCCGTGTGACTAACAAATGTGACATGTGCAGACGTGGCCAATTCCTCAGGATTGCTGCGCGCAGCAGGCACGCAGTGGCAACACTCAACCTGGCGTCAGTGCTGTCTGCTGCACGGTGCTTGATCCAATGTTACAATACTGTTCGTTTTTTTCGCCGAATGTTACTACGGGGTTCTACACAGTAAGTACGCTTCTTACGCTTTCAAATGCCACTAGGGTCCAAAGCACTTGAACCAACCCACCGCCCTCAAACAACCCACCTCCAGGGAAACCCTCACAGGCCTTGGTCGCGCACTTACAGCTTCAAATCTCAGCTCTTGCCAAACACCCAGGCAAGAATGAACTTGAAAGCAACATGTCCAGTGCCCCACAGGTCAGGTGCCGGTGATAGTTCAGACTAAGGCTGAAGCCCATGAGCTTGGCAATCGCCTTTTGAAGCTTCATGTTGACTTCCTGGCCCAAGCCATACTCTTCACTACCATGTTTGTCAGGTCAGGCGAAGCATGGTCAACGCACTCTGTCTTGTGATCACAGCACAAAAAGAACGAGTCACCGAGCAACCAGAGACACGTCAGTGGCTCTTGTTTTAACCTGCCAGGGCAGCCGAGAACTCGGCATTGCTTGTGAGCGCACCCTGGTGTGCCAGCACGGCACTCTCAATGTCCTGGGCCGCGCCAAAAGTCATCCACGCAAACCCTTTGTCAGCAGTATACAGACATCACGATCGTCGTTGTTGTCATCGTCGTGATCACCGTCATGGCGATCGTCGCCGTCGTTACCGTCGACACCATCACCACCACCACCACCACCACCACCACCACCGCCGTCGTGATCATCATCGCGCCTACTTCAATATCTTAGCTACCTGGTGAGTGTACAGCTTCGAGGCTCCTCTGAGGACACTTTGTACTTGGCCTCCGCTTTCCCGGACACGATGGCCTGAAAGGGCGAGAGTCAACAAAAGTCGTTTCATGGAGGTAGCGGTGCATGAGCTGTGCAAGAACAAGAGCAGTTCGGGCAATGTGGTTGTGATTAAGAGCACGGTTGCTTCAAGTAGTGTCACTCGGGCTTCTTCACATGGCTTGTCATGCAGAAAATACTAGGCAGCAGAATGATGTGTCTGTATACTTTTTTCTTGTTACTTTGCCGTTGGCTTACATTCGCGATACTAGGCCCGAGGTCCAGAACACCAAGCACCTCCATCCTGGCTTTGAGCCCACCAGATCCATGAAACGATCAGGCCTGCGCCGCAAAGCTCACAATGGCGGCATCCCGGGAGCCCTTGTCCGACTGCTTGGCCTTTGGCACAGTCAAAACAAAATTCCTCAGACGGTACTTTTTTGCTTGAGGAATCTCCGTGACTCTGTGACTCACCCCATGGCCCGTCTACGCGTTACCTGAGGCATTGATCGTCTCGCTAGCGAGTGCGTACCAATGGGATTGCCATATGACTGTCAGCACAAAGGGCAGCACCAAGTTCTCATACTCCGTGAGCATGTACTTGTGGATGTCCTAGCCGTGCAGGCTGTGCTACACAGCCCTTCGTGCGTGTGCAACGATTCTAAATGTTTGGATCGATTGAAGAATGCCAAGGATCTGAATTAATCTGACATTCAGCCTCAGAAATGAATTTCAGCCCATAGTTCTCCAACCGAGCTCGGCACCAGCAACTTCACAGGGGTGAGGTTGGCTGCTGCCTTCCAAGTTTGCCGTGTTACGCACAATGATGCCATTCAACCAGCTCGTCCTTCCAGCATCCCTTGAAGTTTTCATGCAGGCAGTATCCAAGTCGACCCCAACCAAAACATGCTAAACATAGGGCAAAGGATGGGCCTCAGTGACGGTGGCCGCGCCATCAGGCGGTGCACCCATGAGGGCTGACACGGCTTCATGCACCGCCGGGTCATCCTGGAATCGTCTGACGAGTGGATCCACAAGCAGTTCATGCTTACAGAGGCGACAGCAAAACACAAACTACACATGCCAGTGATGTTTCTGAAAAGGCGAGCTGCTCAGTTCATCCGTGACGCGCATGCCGTGGCTTGCTAGTGACGCGACAGAAACGGTGGGCTCTTTGTCGTCTTCCACATGTTGCCGTTTAAATACATAAAATGACAACATGTGATGCAAAATGCCCCTTCCACGTGCATCTACTGAAGGAATTGCGACCCGAAGCCGCCCATCTCCGTCCTCATACTCCGCCAAAACTTTGTTGAAATCCGATGAGGACCTTGCAGCAAATTGTGTTCATGCAAAGATGGCCTGCCAAACCAGCAGCCCAACTTGCGGCAGACTAAGTTCAACACATGCCGTACTTCTCCAAGGGATCCGAGAGCTGGCAGGAAGCACGCGCGCGTCCACAGACCACGGGCGGGGCCATATCTTAATGAAGCACTGGACCACGTGCATGCGCACATACCATGTGGTTCAAAAATATATGTTGGTGTAATTTGCTTGATGCCATTTACATATAGATAGAAAGAGAGAGAGAGAGAAATAATTCTATATGTATACATATATATATATATATGTATGTACATATAATATACAACATATGTGTACGTATGCTTCCCGACTGGCGCGCTCACGGGCACGGCTTTGCCTAGGCCCCATGCGGCTTGGGTGAAAGAACTTTTGACCTTCTTCAAATTCTTACTTTAAAAAGGGTTTTCAGCCCAGTGATCACACAAATGAGTGCACCTAAGCCACCACATGTGGACTTACTGCAGAAGGCACGCGCGCTGGTGCTTCCGCATGCCGCGCGCAGTGCTGAACACGCAGCGCTGAGAAAGCGCGCTTAGCAAGCGCTCGTACCATTTTGCAGGCAAACATGCGCCGCCACCTCCCCCCCCCACGCCCTAAGCCCCCCGTAAGCCCTTTCCTGCGCCTGAAGCTTACGTCAGCCGCAACTCACCAGAATCCTTTCCTACGCGGTCGGCACCCCCCTCCACCCCACGCCACAGAAACACAATCGAGGCTGCGCGTCAAGCAACCAATGGCCACCCCCCCCCCCCAACGCCCCAGCCCAACAACGCGCAGCTCATTTCCTTCAGTTTGTTTAACACGCAGTAAGCGGATGTGGAATGAGCCATTGCCGCTACACATTAGAGCCGGCGATTGCTCGTTGTCTGAGTCCGCGCCACGGAGCGTCTGTTTCGCTTGGTCCGCGTTGATCCAATGCTTGCCATCCTTGACAGCCCACGGCAGCAAAGCGGGCGGCGGCGCTGACGCATTCCTGTTGTCTGCTGCCACAGCCCACGGCGTGTGCTTGAGACGCCAATTGCGTCTGCAGGCAATCTCGTCCTCTACAACATCCTGCAATCGTGTTGCGAGTCCGTCTAGACTTGCGGCGCGCTGCGTTGCTCTGGGCATCTTGTTCTTCTTGTGGAGTCGCTTCGTCTGCGGCTTCGTCTGCGCCCATCCTCCTCTCTAGGCGTTTTTGTGCGCACTTCCACGAGCGCTCAGCCTTGGCGCGGTAGCGTCGTACGTTGTCTCCATGCTTGAGTGACACAAAAGGTGCGAGTGTGGCATTTGCCTCCCCAATCTCTCCTCACTTCCACAGTGCTTAACATTCAGCGGCGGAAAGTTAAGAACTTCTTTTTGGAAGTCTTGGAAGAGTAGATGCCATCAGGCAAAAAAACGCGGGTGGTTCCGTGTTTTTGCTGGGGCAGCACATCACTTTCTGCAGAGAGCTAAAGATTGGGAGCTTCAAAACGCCGCTCCCAAATTTTGAGACGTCTTAAATTTGGTGTCTTTCAGCATGTTGGGCTTTGGCAGCACAAACATTGAGAGGTTCTTATTTTCGAGCCTTCAAAATCTGAACATGTGCAAGCTCATGTTGGAAGCGAATTTGTTTCGAATTTGAGGCCTTTTTTGAAGCTGTGGCAGGTCAACAAGCAGATGCAAAAATGCAAACACAACTGTATTTGCAGCACGTTGGGGGATATGTCTGCCAAGAACAGCTGCAAGACCAGAGGCGTGTGTCTTGGGGAGGGGGTGACCATGTGTATATATATATATATATATATATATGTGTATCCATAACATACATAATATATATATGTATATATGTATATATATATATGTGTATATATATATATATCATAGTAAGTCTAAATATGAATATAAATATGTACGTACATATACATATATAATTATAGATACGTATGCTTGTGCATGCATATGTGTATGCAAGTGCCAAGCAGGGTGTCAGACGTCAGAATAAACTGACTCAATCCCGCGCCTGCATCTCAGCACAACGTCTGCAGGCCTGCTGAAGGCCTCGGAAGGCCATCAATGACGCCGGCCGTTTGAAGGGTCGAATGCATGGCAGTCCTTTTCTCAAAATGGGTGTGGGTCAAAATTATATGGACCCCAGGTTCTAGTCCTGGGTTCCTTTTACCAGGGTTTTCATTTGGACCCACAGCCAAATGGCTCCAAGTGGAGATCTTGGCGAAATATTTGGCCACGACATGCGATCAGCTGGCGGCATAAACTTGACCAGTCTCGCTCAGTCCACCTGCATCATCATAAAGCCAAGAAGTGCCTGACTTGGAGTCGTGCCAAGCGTAGCGTTCAACCATGGAGTTGCTTTCCATCCATGACACGACCTCCTGGACAAATTCATTCACTTCCGCTTGACTCCATTTGGTGGGGTCTGCAGTGCTTTCGGCAATCGTCTGAGGCGCAAACTCCGTGACCCAAACTGGTTTTTGGTATTTGTCGATGACTTCCTGGATGTCAGATTTGAACTTGTCCACCTTGGCGCCCTTGTACCAATGAACGGCCACAAAGTCCACATGAGGCGAAGCGGCCATGAACTCTGGGAACCAGGAGCCGGTCACAGGATTGCCTGCTGTCGCAGGGGATCCGATGCGGCCGTTGGTTGGAACCTTGGCCAGAACCTGCGGCCAAAGTTTGAGGGCCTCGCTGACGCTGATGTTGGCCTGCCCGGAGTGATCCGGCTCATTAAAACCCAGGATGTCATGGCATCCACTCGCTGGACTCCACTGCAAGTACTTGGCCGTGGCGACGATAGGCACGAACTCCACGCCATCTGGTACGGTGATCTTGGGTTTCAGCCCCCAAGAATAAAACCAGGAAGCGTTCAAAGCCTCCAGCTGCGTTGCTCCGTAACCGGTGGAGGACGGAAGGCCGACACCTTTCTTGGAGGTCTTTGACCGCTCGTCCACAGAAAGCGTTGCTTGAACTTTCATAGATCCCTGCAGCAGGGCAGGGCTGGAGCTGCTGGAGTGCATGGGACAGGTCTCAGCCCGCACGAGGGCGGCAAATGCGCTGAGCAGAATGCAGGCAACTGCCATGGGTATTGAAAATAGGCAAAATGGTAAGATGATGGGATGGGATGAGGCTCAAGTGATTGGGCCCGGAAAATCGGCAAGGTGCTCATTCATGCACACCGTGACTTTGCAAGTCAACATAACATCCATCTGCCAAGCAGAAACATGAAACTATCCTAGCGAAAGCTCTGCTTGCTAAGTCGTACAAGATAGATTTGGCAGCAGCTTCGGAAAAGATGCAATCGCTACTTCACTGCACAACTGTTCAATCATATCACAGAGACACGCAGACACAGAAATACAAAATGCATTGCGCCAGCAGGAAGCAAACTTTTTCCGCCGGCATGGTCTCCTGCGCAGCAAAAGAGCATGAAGCAAACAAACCCAATTCGATCGAAATACCACGCATCTCCGTGACATGCGCCTCTGCACTGCGGCGAAAATGGCCTCCCCTTCTGGCTACCAGCACATTCAAACAAAGCCCTTCTATTTGGACACGACCCCAGTGGCATACACTCAAGTAACTCAAGCCATGGCCTGCCTCTGTGCGCATCGGCGCCCAGCCCCCGCGCGCTCGCGCGCGCCGGGGACGGCCCAGGCTGGCAGCTGCGCGGAGGGCAAGCTTCTGGCGCACCCGCCTGGAGAGCTCCCAACTCGCGCACGACTGATTTGGCCATGGTTCAAAACCAATGGTACCAGTTTGGGATAGGTGCAACACCCATTTTACTCTATTTTAGTGGTTGGATTGGGATGTTCACTGGGGGATAACCGGGATTTTGACTCACCATTTGGGTGGTTCGCAGAAATTGCACGAGTGCAGCGCCCCCGGCCGCAGGCGCGCGACTGCACAATCTGACAAACCTCGACCGAATGGCAAATCATTGAATCTTGTTGGGCCAGCCCTCGTTTTGCCACGAAGGTGAAGGCAGACGTTTCCCAAAGCTTCAAACCAGCAGGCAGAGGGGGCAGGCTTATAGTGGCAACATGGCTCATCTAATTACCCTACTTGCGTCGCAACTGACTTGCTCGCTGAAGATCCTTGTCACAACGGTGCAAAATCAGCGCCTCAAAAGTTGTCTTGGGCAAAAACGCTCGTGTAACAAATTTGCCTTGTGCATGGAAGGCCAGCCTCGCTTCGGCATTGCGCTCCATAACATACCTGAGAGGCTTACACTTTGGCACTGAACCCCTTGCTGTGATAATCTCTCACAGTATAATCTGATAAAACTTATCACGGAACTCCTCATGTTCCCCGATGTATCCGAAATCACCCTACGCCAAAATGCAGACTGCCAGCTTCGATGCAGACAAAGCTCTCCAGGGCCCATTGCCATTCTGCCAACTCCTGAGCATCTGGTGCCTGCGCTATGCGAGTCACAGACGCGCTTGCAAAGCTGATGCTGTCTTGCGAACCAATGATTCAGATCAGGCTGTCATGTATTTTCCTTAGCCCTGCCTGCAGCTTTCGGTCTGCAATCTCCTCTGCCTCCTCCTGGCAAAGTTGAAGTGCGAAATCCATGGCAATGATACGGTTGCTTGGCATCGCTGCGTCCTGCGCTGGTTACCCTGGTTCCTTCTCCAATTCTTTAGCACTCACAGAATCTAAAAAAAATAGAAAGGGTTGGCCACCAGGTGTTGCACGGCCCACCTTTCAGCTGGGTTCCCTTCAGCTTCAGGTTTCATCGAGAAAGTGGATTTCAAGTTGTCAAAGACTGTTGTAACACTTGCCGTTCTCACCAACAAGGCGAAAAACATGCAGACAACCATCTTGGCTAGTCAGTTGTCTCACAAAAAAACGCGTGGATCAGGACATACACCATGGACCATCACCCTGTTCAGCAAGGATTGGCAGGTTCCAAGCTGCTCCAACACGACCAAACCGTTCTTCGCGCACGCCCGCTCCTCTGCCACCAGCACGGGCCGAAAGACCCCGAGCCACTGGGCGATCTGACCGCCCGCCGTGGCGAGGGCGTTGATCCACTCAGGCGCCTGGCACAAACGAAGGCGGCTGGTGTCTTGTCACGGTACAAGTAACTTGCAATTGCAGCGACATGGGTGTGGGTCAAAAATAGCTACCCAATATAGAACCCTGGTGACCCATACCCACATGGGCATGGCCACAGTACTCTGGTACAAAACTGCCCCAGGTATCCATGGCAAGACTTGGCATCTTGGTGTCCAAAGCCCCGAAGCCTCCTCCACACGCAGTCGGCGCACAAGTTCGATGCCTGGGCGCAGGACCCAAATGACGAGCGCGCACGAACAGGGAGCTGCTGCAGGCTTGTTTGACGTGGCGCAGATCATGCGCAGAAAGCCGAGTACAAAGATGTCGCAAGATGTGTCTCTTTTTGCCAACAGCCAGCGACCCCTGTATGTGAAGAACAAATTATCTCATCTTGCAACAATAGCCAGGCAGCTGAAGTGTGCGCAATTCCGACGCAGCAGGTCGTACCTGGGTTTGGAATGCTCGCCTGAAATTGTGAACTGGACATTGAGTGGTACGAACTAATCCAGTGCCGTCTTCTTGCAAATCATCACATGCCTTCAATTGATGGCACTACCAGAGTTGCCGGAATAACATGTGTGAGCGCATAAATTTGAATTGCAAAGCATGATTTCCAGGTCTGCTGAGCCCTCCGCGACTTGCCGTCCCAGTTCTTCCGCATGTCTGCGAGGATCGACAGAACCTCTCTACGTGAGGGGCAAGCCGAGTAAGTCCCCAATGATGGACATTTTGCAAATGCCAGGGACGGCCAAAGAAGGACTACAAATCCCCACTTGACTACAGGGCTGCTCCCCCCATTTGTTGAGCTGTCAAACTCTGCTTGGGCGCTAACACGGTTAACGATAGTTACAAGTCACAAGATTCTCAATGAAAGCTGTGACCATGGCATTCGTAAAGAAAATCACTCTGGCTATAGGCTTACGCAAAAGTCTGGAATCCCCGCAGGTTTCTAAATCGAAAACAAGGACTAAGGACCTAAGGACTGGCTGGTACCTAACCATGTTGGCTACAAAAGCGGTCCCTGGGAGATGGCCTCTTCGGGTGCCAGGGGCGTGCGCCCCAGCGGCAGACGCTGGCGGAAGCGGCCCAAGCTGCTGGAACCGAAGTGGAGCGCCTGGCGCATTGGCTCACACCTTCGATCCGGCCCCGCGGGGGATTCTACACAAAGCTGGGGAGCGTTTATGCGTTTTGAAACAAAGTGAGAGTTGCCAAACATAATGTCCGGCATTCCATGAATTCAGGAAACCAACTTCTTACGGCCCTGAATGTGGGAAATGATTCACGGGCCTGGATGCCAGAACCATCTTCGCACCACCCAAAGCTCCACTCCAGCCAGTAGACCTGCGACTGTCCCAGATCCTTGCGAAACGCCAAAGTCAAACAAAGCAAGTCCGTGCACAGCTGGCTGCCGGCAAAATTGAGGCTGGCTTTTGGAGCATTGAGTTGGACCTATGGAGCTGGAATGGACAAAATAGTTGGTCCTGCCATCCCCCGGCAAGAAGTGAACTAGAAGTCATCGCATCCGCGCCTGGACCGCCACGTGGAAGGCGCCACCAAGACCCGCCAGCCTCGCTTAGTGAGTCCATGAGTCAAGTCGGAAGAGTGATTCTTCTTGGCTTTACATCAGAGGCAAGGAAGGGCCTGGCGCATGTGATGTTCGCAAACTAATCAACTAATCAAAAGCAGAGGCCTAGCAAGCACCCACAATACTTGGAGAGTCCGCTAAAGCTCCCACAATAGCTCTCAGTCGTGGGCTGTGTGAGAGCGGTGACTGCCGCAGTGCCGTGTAATTCCTCAGTGAGGGAAGCAAGGGCGGCCACTGTGAAAGGCTAGACCTCGCGACCCCGTCTGAAGGCAAATGCAATGAAGTGTCTCACAGTAGCCTTAACGTACATAGGACAGTGTTTGTCTGATTTGCTGGGCTCCCGTCGATGCAGCATGTTCATGGCAATTGTTTGTGGAATTTGAAAAAAACATGTAGCAAGCTAAATATGCTAGCTCTCTCATGATGTGAGTGGTCAGTAACATCCATATTAAGTCTCAGCTATAGCCCAAGAAAGCAATCTGGAGCCTGTGGCAAATGCATGAAGAAGTGTCACCCCATCAAGTAGCTATGTCACTTATGTTGACACTTTGCTGCTAAGAGGCATAGATGCTCAAGGCAACGTCAGAGCCAAGGATGACCTGAATATCTGGCGATGGAACTCCAGGATTTCAACTTGCACTGCGCCGACAGGACTCGCTTGATTAACGGGGACAGTTCAGGTGCGAAGATGATGTCTTGCTTGTGCCTTGCAGCTAGCACCCTGTCAGGAGAACACGTGGTACCCGTCAGCGGACGGGCGCACCTGATGAAGCTCCTCTGCGGCAGATCTTGTGTCCTCGAGGGAATGGGCGCAAGTTCTGGCTTCCGTTGCCAGGTCACACCCGTTGGAAGCCTTGCCCCACTGCGCTAAACACACGTGCCAGAACCAGGGCGAAGTTGCACCAGGCCAATGATGTCAGTCAAAGCATCCCAAGCGATGAAGCCATGCTCCCCATGTCACTCACCACATCGCAAGCCATGAAGCCATGTTCCCCCATCCCCCATCCTGTCTCTCACCGTCTCATCCTTTCAACAAGCGCAACGCTCCTGGAACTGCTGATCCAGCCAGCAATGGACTTCCAGCAGCCCTTGCAGGTCAGACAGTGCCTCACCTTGCAAGGAATACAAAGGTTAAAATGCAGCCTTCGCAAGTAAAACGATTGGAATGATCGAAATGCATGGCTTGAAGCTTGCATCACCCATACAGCTGAAGCTGAACAACAAAATACGGTTTGTTGCAAATCTGAGTCGAATCAAGCTATAAAGAACAAGACGTCTAGCCAGAGCTCCCTCCGCCAGCACATGCCATATCTCCAAGTGCATCTGAGGCACGCAAGGGAGGCATCATGTTGCCTAGAATTTGCAAACGCATCGACTCAGCTTTCCCCGAAACAGTGGCTTGATGAGAAGATTTGTAGACTGCCACAACTCAGAAGGTAGCCTTGCTTCGACATAATCGCAGTTGCTGAGATCTCTCTACTTTGGTCAGCATTTATCGACGGATTGCAGCTACGGACTCATTGAGATGAGGCACCTCGGCCTGCAGCAGAGGCAAGAAGCCGCACTGCCTCGAGGATGGGGAGGCATGTGTTTGCAAAGCCACAACTGCCAAACCAGACAAGGCAGGTAGACAAGCTGGTTCCAACAAGTTGAGTCCATGGGGGGCCAAAGCATTGCCAGCATATCAAGAGCATTGAGGAGCCTCGAAACATCTCTTCAAAGAGCGCAGAAAACGTGTAGTCCAATAATTGCAGCTGCAGGAGGAATCAAGGGCAATTGTTAGGAACGATGTGTCTTCGGGCTGGGTTTTCCAACACCTAGTGCAGCCAATCTTCTGAAGCGCAGGCACGCGACCAGCCAGCGGCAAACCTCTCCTGCTGCTAACTGCAGTGCATAATGATAAACAGTATCATCTCAAATCCATGTTGCCCCCAAACACAAATCTTGTCATGCAGGCAAGCTATCATTCCTGGAACTCACCAGACCAGTCGTCATGTCTTCCGCGCCACGTAAGCAGTCCATCCTCCTGCCAAGAAACGAAGGCATACGGGGCACCCACCCACAGGGATTGATGCCTCTTTGCTGGGTTGCCAAGACGTGCTTCGCGCTAGACAGAAACAAGTCACCCAGTGTGCACTGTCAAGGTGTGCGCACTTCCAGCTGCACCGTACCGAAACAACAATACGGCAAACAATCTTTTGGACATAGAATCTTGGCGGATTAGCATTTGCTGTGCAGAAGGAGACATGCGGTACCAAAACGTATGTCGCACTGGGATGCTGCTGGGCGTTCAAAATAGCATCTCCAGCTTGCAAAATCTTGCAAAGCTCCTCAGGGAGCGCCTCTGCCAGGAAGAGAAGGTTCTGCCAAAGGCCTTCCACTCTTGACACTCTGCTTGGCAATCCATCACTCGAGCTCTTCTGGCGCGGGACCCATCCCAAGGCCTCTATTAACACATTCGCCACCGGACGGATCTCAGCGCTTCTGTCACTATGGCGCCTTCGACCTCGTTGCGGAGCTGTTCTGCTGCGAAGCTGCCTGGCCAGCTGACCAAACTTCGGCAACCGCATGGCCTGCACACTGTGAAGTCATATCCTAAAATTTGACACTGCTGCTTGATTGCCATTTTCACCATGGCAAAGAGTATACAGCGTGATGATGCAATAAACGCGGAATACTGTGGTTCTCGTGTCCAATGCGTGCTGACGCGCCTTCCATCAGCAGCTGGAAGGCAACCAGTGACACCGCCAAGCACTCCTTTGGCAGCAGTTGGCCATCCTCCTGTGTCACCAGAAAGTCCTCTGGGCCACGCAAAAGAAAAGCTGGCAAGGTCACAAGATTGTCCATATATATATATATATATATGTATGTGTGTATATATATATATATTATGCACATATGTGTATGTATATATATATATAATACATACATGTACATTATACATATATATGCCTGTCAGCGCTATGTGTTTCTGCCGGCTGCTCGTCCATTAGCTGCGCCACTGGCCCAACAGGTTGTTGGCCAAAAAGGCCGCTACACGTTTTGCTTGTGACCACTGGCCAACGCTGGTCCTCGCAACGGGTCCACCAGCTCACTTCCGGCTTCTCCTTGAGTTTGGCCACCTGAGGTCCGAGTTTGTGGCGACTCGCAAGTTCTAATGCCCAATTGTTGTCAGACAGCAAATCTCAAAGTTGTGCTTGAGCATTGAGCATGATGGGGTCTCAAAGAACGATGACTGCGATAACACTCGCACACATCATAAGGGTCTTTTGAACTCGAACATTCTTACCAGTAACGCAGCGTTTGGGCTCTAAAACCCCTGCGTTTGTAGTATTCGCGGTTTTCCCCGGCCGCGGGCCACGAAAGGGGTTGATCATTTACACCCCGCGAAAGCCTTCGCACGGAGTCGACGCTAAGATTTGCGTCGGGGGTCGGAAGTTCAGAACGCCGTGTGTTTTTCAGGGAGCCACCGGGGAGTTCTCATGAAGTGCTCCCCGCCTGCAGGGCGCCCCGCACCAACTGAGCCTCCTCCAGCCTTTCAGGCGTGCCCTGGCATGCGATGCGAAACATGAGAAGTGCCGGCCAAGATGAAAGGCAGAAATCAAAAGAAGCACAACAAATTTGGTACAAGATTGGCATGCAGAAGTGCAAGCTGCACAATGCCAGAATCCGATACTGCTTGCCGCCGACCTGCGCACAGACCAGGTCCCACTGGGCAGCCTCCTTCGCCAGGAAGCCGGTGGCAAATTGGTTCACCTGAGCATCATGATGCTCCGCGAGGGCTCAGCGACGTTCCAAGCAAAAGGAGCAGAGCAATCGGCAAAGACTTTTCAACCCAACTTGCCGCCATAGACACCTGTGATGAGCTCTGCTCTGGCAGTCTTTGGCCAGGGGAGCCCAATCGGGCGATGTCCTCACAGCGGCCATGAGCCTAATCAAAGTGGCCTGTGACTAAAGGACAAATGGAAGTTTCGAAGCTACAGCCAACAGCCCGGTCACCCAGTCGATTGGGCCTGGTGTGTAGCCCAGCCAACGGCGTTGGCGGCCTCCACGCGAAAGCAGTTAACCAGTGGGTCCAAGTCGACGCCTGGCCACATCAACTATGCAGGAAGGCAGGAAGCTGCCCAATGGCACAGCATGAGAGGTGGGCGTTGTGTTTATCTTCCTTTCGTGGAATATGTCGGTGTTTTTGGGCTTTGACATCTGCTCCGAGCCTGGGAAACAGGCTGTCCACTGGTTGCCGTGTTCTCGCTGAGCGAGAACTCGCTGAGAGTTGGCATAACACATAGCTGTACAAACCGCACAAGGTGCAGCTTCCGGTTGATGAACCTGGGCGAGTCGGCCGGTCTGCTTGATCCTCATTCAATCCCACATAGCTTGCATGCACAAAAGAAAAGACTACTCGCCAGCAGGTCTTTGCTTCCGCAGAAGCTTGGCAATGGCCTTTGCATCAAGGCTTCCCTTGAAAGTAGGGAGGGAGAGAGAGAGAGAGAGAGAAAGAGAGGCAGAAAGGGAGGGAAAAAGAGAGAGAGAGAGAGAGAGAGAGGGAGAAGGAGAAGACAGAATAAACATGAGAATGAGAAAGAGAAAGCGAAAACAGATAGACAAAGAGAAAGAGAGAACAGAGAAGAGAGTCACGAGTATCAGGCGACCAATCAACATGCCCGAGTCGTGTCTCAGCTATCCCTTGACATGTTCAGTCAAGCGGCCGAGAAGGTAAGCATTAACGACGCACTGCCCTGGTCGGCACTGCAAGAGGTAGGGATTCCTAAGCTGAGACTACCTGCAGCTTTCGGTCATGCGACATTCACTCCATCCGTTCGTTTTTCAAGGGCCGTGGAGTTCCAAGCACAGCTGAGGAGCGGTGTAAAACCATGTCGGAGATTGCAGGCACGCACGGCATGCTCCAATCCTTAGGCTTTAGCGATCTTGCAAACTCTGGACCTAGCCTTCCAAATGTCTGAACCTCGCATGGGAAACTCAGGCAGCTGAGCCGCCAAAATTTCAGACCATTCTGACCAGCCCGAGTCGTTCCGCGCCTTGACTTTGAAGACGTACTCCTAGTATCCAGAGATGCAAAGCACCAGAGAAGAAATGATGCTTTGGCACTCCTTGCACATGTGTGGTTGTGTGTGTGTTGGAGCGAGTTTTGTTGCATCAAATGCTGCTGTTGCAAGCCTTTCCAGTTCAGATGAACAACCTGTGTGTATCTCAGCACCAAGAACCCTTAAAATGGACAATCCTCCTTGTGTCTGCTTTGCGCGTCATCTGAAGCAAGTTCCGCGACGTCGCACCCCAGCGACTAGCACGGACCTCTTGAATCATAGGAATCCACAGAACAGGTGGAAAGGCTTGCAACAGCAGCATTTGATGCAACAAAACTCGCTCCAACACACAGGTTGTTCATCTCAACTGTCCTGGGCTGGCTCCAAGCCATACACCACTTGCTTCCAGTGCTCGCCATCCCTCTGCAAGGACACGTCGCTCACTGGCTGCCAGGCACCAAACATCGACCTCAATTTCACAACAAAAACGGACTCTCCAAATGTCGAATGTCACATCTTCGTGTCAAATGTCATGCCGCCATCAACTAGCCTACATTTCAAGCAGCCCAAACTTCCACCTGTTGAACTGGAGACCTGCAGAACGCAAGGCGCACAGCAAACAATCACCGTAGGGCGGGCTGGCCTGCAAAGTGTATGTGTGTGTTTCATTTGTGCCGTGGCAGTCACAACGCGGCACATCGGCAAATCCCTGTCTGAGTGGCTGGGTAGCGATCTCAACGCTGGCACCCCAGACCGGCGCCCCAGGAGGGTCCAGCACGTGCCACGAGAGGCTGCGCAGAGAGGGAACAGTCCATGCGCGCGCCCTCTCTCTCTCCCTATGGTGACTAGGACTGTTCCATTGAAGAGTGACCAGGATCCAGACTTGCAGATTTCAGATTCAACGAGGGGAACAGCCCGTCACCTACCCGAAATTGACTCTTAATCTGCCCAAATTGGAGGTCCAGCCAATTTTGCAGACTAGTGCGCCTCATGTGGTAGGCACTCAGAGACTTTGCCCTGAGCTCGCTCGGCTCCTCCGGTTTGCGGCTGGTGTGGCAGTCCAGCCTTGGGGCAGCTTATCGCAGTGGCCAGCTCGCAGCATTTCAGCCAAGCTGCGCAACAGACGGTACGGAGCTTCTCCCCACCGCGTTCCTGAGATCGCAGTCCGGATGGGCCCAGATGGCAACTAGCTCTTGCCAACAGGAAGCAAATGTTTGGAAGAGGAAACTTGCCGCTTGCGCAGATTCCTTTGATTCCTTTGACGGCGACCTTCCTTCCGCTTGAAGCGGATTCGCAAACATAGCTGCAGCCATGGAGCTCTGGCCACACGCGGAAGCGATACCCGTGGTCACCTTGCAGGCCCTTCAGCTCCACCACCACGTGCACGGTGCCGGAGGAGTTTGGGGAGGCCTTAGGCGGAAGTCGATCTCGCGGGAGGACCATGCCACGCCACAGGTGGCTGCGGCTCAAGAAACCGGTACCAAAATGGAACCCTGGGAAGTGGAAACATGGACCAAACCCTGCGTAGCCCCTCCTGTTTAATTTTGAGCCACACCCAGGTGTCTACAAGAGGCACCCCACAGAGCAAAGCATGCTTCAATGAGGCCTTGCATCTGGAGCTACGGCTCAGCAGGAAAAAAAGAGGCAAGTCGCATCGATTTTGACCTCCTTCTCTGGGACAGTCTTCCAAACCAGCGTGCCCGCCTGGATTCAGTTCGCCCGACTCGGGCCAAGTCATGTACGTGGGAGAATCCAAACAGCGATGCAGATGACCTATGCTAATGAGTCCCAATGCACCCAGTATGAGCAACAGACACCTTGTACAGGCACTCTAGACACAACCCTGGCAACAAGGACCGCTTCCGTACCAGAGCCCCGCCCGCCGGACTCCATGGAGTGCCCCCCGCCTCTTCCACTATGAGGGCACTGAGCCCCGGCACGCAAGAGAGCTGCGCAGGGTCGTAGCCTCTGTCAGTGCCATCATTTTTCCAGGCTTCTGAAATAGTGAATTGCCAGCACCCTTCATTCACCTGTGATTACCTACAGTTGGACTTGCCCAGCAAATGCTGCACCCTGGGTTCAACTAGGTAAGGCATGACAATGATTCCTGAGGGTAGAATCCGGGTAGAAGGACGGCTGGGATGTGAGAACAATCTGAGAACAGCCCACATCAAACACATGTAGAGCCGTCAATATATGATATGTATCCCGCAAAAAGACACCGAAGCTAACTGCACATATCAGCAAGCGCAGGCAAAAGCACACAGCATGCTTGCACTCAAGGAGCTCAGTTCGAAGTGTAGCTGGATAGTTGTGGCTGTCACGTGCCCACCTTGCGAGGATGGACAGAATGCAGATGCATTTTTGACATGTCAAAAGCACAACCAACCAAGTCCCGCATCACGAAGGCTGGCAAGCGATCATGTGCAAAATCATATCAAGGCAGCCATATAACATACGATTGGATGGCAGCAAAGCCGAGCCACGGCCTACCCTGCTCAGCATGGAAGCTCTTAGGTACGGCACCGCTGGCATTGTCGCTTGAGTTTGTGGGCTAGGCGGGCTAGGATTAACACATCGACCCATCCTGGAGCCCTGGAGGACGGCACTGGAGCCATGCTGAGCTTGGCACTCTGCAAGCTGGCAGGCGCAACAGGCCGATCTGCTGTGCCTTAGTTGCCGCATCTTCAGGGCCCCAGCTGACTATTCACTTGGACATGAGTGATTTGTTGCATTTCTGGCAATTGGCCTCCCCCGGAAATGTGAAAGGTGCTAGTAAGAACAATACAAGACTGCCACTCCGGTCAACTGGGAGAAACCTGGGCTTTTGAGCCTTGCGCCACACACAAACGCCTGAAAGCGAGGGCTGCAAACGGAAGCGACACGGAACTGCCACGGCACGGAACACTGGCAGCTGGCTGAGGTCAGAGACGCCCACCACGTTGCGACACCGGAGGCGCAGCACCTCAAGTGCTCCCGCGACGAAAACAAAAGTGTCCATCGATTCAGCACATTCAGCGCGCCAACGCGGCTTTGGAGCGCTCATGGCGGATATAGGGTGCGCATGGCGAGGGTAAAATCCTGTATGTTCAGCTTCAAAACAAGATCTCCGCTCTCAGACAGTTGACTCAGCTCTCTTTCCTGTTCTTCCCCGAGATCCAGTCCTCGCAACACAGGCCTGTTCAACGCCGGAAACCATTGCACGCGACTCTGTACCCCTGCTCTCCGGCAACCCCGCCAATGAAGCCATGACACGTAAGGCGTCTCTGGCTCCAAGCCTCTGAGAGTGGCGCTCCTGAGGCACAGCGATCGGGCGACAATGAGTCAATGAGCCACAAGCCGGCGACCGAAGTTTTGGAAGGAAAAGGGTCGGATACATCTCAAGCATCGGATCCCATGCGATCACGGATGTCCGGTCAACTCTCCCAATCCAGGGCTGTATGATGATGCACTTGTGCAAGCCCCTATTGTCCACTGCAAAACAAGGCGATGAGATCTTGCTGCCGCTATCCTTCGACCAAGCATCCAAAAAGACCCTTGCTGCTTCCGCACCACTTCGACCTGGCGCATGGATAAGCGGCCATCGCTGGCTGAGGAGGCCTGTTGTCGGGGGAGTGGGGCCTTAGGGACAAACTGAGAGGCTTCAGGGGTTTTCAAAAGCCTGGTGGATCTTGAAGCGTGTTGCCAGGCCCATACTTGAGGGCCATCCAGGAAGCAGCGGCCAAGCTTCGATAAAAAGCCCAAATGAGATGTTGCTTCAGACCCCAAGCACAGAAACAGATCGGAACAACGCCAAGATTTGACGGAAACTGCCACCGCCCAGCTCTCGGCTCAAATATGTGTCGCCTGCTGCGCCCGTGTGAAGAGTGCATGCTCAGGCCAGAAATCCAAAGTACACTCGAGCACCGGCGCCCCTTCCTCGGACCCCAGGATTTGTGCGCTCATATATGCACTGCAAAACCAATCATCCTGAAACGGAAAACATCCGAAAACCGCTTCCGTGACTGGCTACCAGCTGCCAGCAGGTCTCTGGGTCGTTGGTGGTCCAGTCCATCTCCATAAAGTCCAGCCCACGTCGGCAACCTGGCACAATGCTGGCCGTTTCTGGGTTGGAGCACCCAAACTTCAGAGAACCTCAAACAACCAAACGAAGCCAGCACGCAAAATGGTCTTCATGCCGTGCACAAAGACCACACAACATGAATGCGTTGTCGCCCTGGGTTGCCGTGGACTGCAACCCAAGCTTGCACTGAATCAACGCTGGATCGCCCCCTGGTGCCACCAGGCAGCATCGGAGGCTACGAACCTCTTCTGGCCGTGAGGAGGGGCGGCACAGCAACGTCGGCGAGGGTGTCAACGACCTGCTTGAGGTGGTGGACTGGGCCTATTTCCTTTCCAGGCCATGAGCCAAGATTACTGGGTTTGAGTGCTTCAGCTAGATTGTGACTTTGGCCGGCTTGGAATGTGCGAAGGAGCCAAATAATGTGTGCCGTCAACAGCAAATTGCCTTTACTGATTGGAAACCCAGTCGTGCTGGTGTCAAGTCTTTGTTCTTAAACGCATCGCAGGATGCTAGGATGCTTGACTGTTAAAAACAAATGGCATTCCAAACCTGGGCCGCGCCTGCCAACGATGTTCTTTGACCACACTCGCAGTTGGCTCACCGGGTCGGCCGGCAGCCCAGAGACCGTCACCTGGCATGGAGAAGTCATGGCGTCTTGTTAGACTAAACGAATAAGACAAATGCGTCGAAGGACGGATCCGGAGGGATCCGAAGGGATCCGGTGCCAAACGTTGGAAGTTCCCGGCTCGGGCGTCCCCGCCTGCACTCTGCGGCTGGGACCGCCGCCCAGGTCGTCCCAGTCCCAGCTCTCCAAGGAGGCGAGGCACTCGCTACACACCTCGCCCCAGGAGACCTCAGCTCAAGAAATACTTCAGATACGGGATACGGCCAAAACTCCATGGTTCCCCAATCTTGAGAAGTTCCCCCATGGTTCTCCAAGGAATCCCTGTGTGGGGGGGGGTGTTCTTGGGGTGAGGGATCGAAAACAAAACTTATTAGGCATCAAAAAACTATTTTCTGTTGATCAAAAAACTTATTAGGGATCAAAACAACTTATTTTCATTGATTTACTATTAAAAATGAAAAATCAAAGAATTTTTAAAAAAAAAAAAAAAACGTTTTGGGGATCAGAAAAACTTTTTCATGTCGTGGCAGGCGCAGCACTTTCGCAAGGTCAGGTACAGATTTCGTGGCAGGCACTTTCGCAAGGTAGGCGCAATGCTTTCGCAGGCCAGGTAGATTTTGTGGCAGGCGCAACACTTTGGCAATGCAAGGTGCAGATTTCGTGGCAGGCGCAGCACTTTCGCATGGTACGGTACAGATTTCGCGGCAGGCGCAGCACTTTCGCAAGGTCAGGTATAGATTTCGCGGCAGGCGCAGCACTTTCGCAAGGTTAGGTACAGACTTCGCGGCAGGTGCAGCACTTTCGCAAGGTGCGGTACAGATTTCGCGGCAGGCGCCGCACTTTCGCAAGGTCAGGTACAGACTTCGCGGCAGGTGCGGAACTTTCGCAAGGTGCGGTACAGATTTCGCGGCAGGCGCCGCACTTTCGCAAGGTCAGGTATAGATTTCGCGGCAGGCGCAGCACTTTCGCAAGGTACGGTACAGATTTCGCGGCAGGCGCAGCACTTTCGCAAGGTCAGGTATAGATTTCGCGGCAGGCGCAGCACTTTCGCAAGGTTAGGTACAGACTTCGCGGCAGGTGCAGCACTTTCGCAAGGTGCGGTACAGATTTCGCGGCAGGCGCCGCACTTTCGCAAGGTCAGGTACAGACTTCGCGGCAGGTGCGGAACTTTCGCAAGGTGCGGTACAGATTTTGCGGCAGGCGCGGCACTTTCGCAAGGTCAGGTATAGACTTCGCGGCAGGTGCGGGACTTTCGCAAGGTGCGGTACAGATTTCGCGGCAGGCGCGGCACTTTCGCAAGGTCAGGTACCAATTTCGCGGCAGGCGCAGCACTTTCGCAAGGTACGTTGCAGAGTTTGACGCAGGCGCAGCATTTTCGCAAGCAGTTACAAAGATATAAGCATGAAGAAAAAGGAAGAAAAGAGAGAGAGAGAGAGAGAGCGAGAGAGAGAGAGAGAGAGGAGAGAGAGAGCGAGAAAGAAAGAAAGAAAGAAAGAAAGAAAGAGAGTGATGATCGAGGAAGTGATGATTCAGCAAAGGGTGCGTTAAGCTCTGTAAACATTCTGAAAATCAGCGGGGGGGTTGGGGGGGGCGGCAGCCCCCCCATGATGTTCGAGGAAGTGATGATTCAACAAGGGGTGCGTTAAGCTCTGTAAGCATTCTACAAATCAGCAGTGGGGTTGGGGGGGCGGCAGCCCCCCCATGATGTTCGAAGAAGTGATGATTCAACAAAGGTGATGATGATCGAAGAAGTGATCCCTCCCTCCCTCCCTCCCTCCCTCCCTCCCTCCCTCCCTCCCTCCCTTCCTTCCTTCCTTCCTTCCTTCCTTCCTTCCTTCCTTCCTTCCTTCCTTCCTTCCTTGTTTCCGTGTCCGCATAGGAATGAAAAGAAGTCTTTTTTTGATCCCTAATAAGCTTTTCTTTTATCCCTAAGTTCCCAGGCTGGCATGCGTTGGGGGGGTGTTCTTGGATCAAAACATCTCAATCCCAATTTGCCCAGGTGAACTCATCTCCATCAGCTCAACATGCGGTGGAGTTAAACAAACAAAAACACTACTCTGTTGAACACTCAAAAACATGCCCGGTCACCAACAAGAACATTGCCATGCAAGTGCTTCCCTCCCCCCCCCAATTCTTCCTCATGTCAAAACTCTGATGGAAGCGCATGCCATCACGCTGTGATTGCGATCGCTTCTAGCATGATGTGCGCTTTCCCTGCTGACATGGCCCTGGACTGTCAAACACAAAGAACTCAATCACTGCCAAGCATCTCTGCCGCAAAGCTGGACTTCCAACTCAGTGATGGGTGCACCTAGCAATGGTCGAAGCTCACTCGAACAACCCTGCGTGCCACTCGGCGCTCAAGTTGCCGGCACCTTCCGGATCCATAACTTCGCATTCCAGCAGCACCTGCCCCGGTCGCCTGCATGACGTGTGGGAATGCAACCAATCCCATTGCATTTGCACAAACTCGAACAAGCGTCTGCAACAATTACCCAACCACAACACTCTGCGTTCAACTCCCCTTCCACCGGAAACTGCATGATTCTTCCTGTATTCTTTTCTTCAGCCGTCTCCGGTATCCGGAGGTAGCGCCGAAACACCTTCTTGCCTTGAGAAGAAAAACACGGGCTGTGGCCCTACCACACCCGTGTCTACACATGTCCAAAGCCGAATGTTGGAGCCAGCAAAGGTGAAACACAGCAAGAGCTAAATAAGTGTCTCCAGCTTTGAGAGACTGGAAGTCGGAAAGCAAGAGAGACTGCCTCCTCAAAGTGGAATCTGGCAATCGTATTTACACGGGCCCGGGAAAATCTCCGAGATGTGAGACCGATTTTTTATTCAGGAATCACCTCGTGGGGACCGCTCTCGCTGCGCCACCTTTCGGCGCACAGGGCCACCACCAAGCCTTCTCTTCCAGTGTCAAAGACTGCTGGAGATCGGAGCTGCTTGCCCACTTGAACTTGATGTCAGACGCTGACTTCACAGGCCGCAAACGCTGGTCCAATGACGGACGCCGAGAACCAGCAGGCGAGCCGCTTTGCAAAATGTCCCCGGCAAGTCGCAGGACCGATTTGGCTGTTGCACCATGCCTTTCAGGGCCAGAACTTATGCTTCTGGATTCCCCATCTAGATTGATAACACCTTGTGCCCTTCCCCAGCAACTCGCGTCAAAGAAAAGCACCCCAAACTCTGCCTCTCTTCGTTTGGCCGCAAACTCTCACCAGCCCTGAGGGTGTCGCCAGGCGAAGAGAAAGCAGAGACCGCAGTCGACGTTGGGTTCATCGTGGAAGGCGTGGTCACATCTCTCGGCCACAAGTCTTTGGCCTTGGCCTCGCCGGACTGCGGCGCTTTGGGCCGGACTTGTGACCAGTCAAGCTCCGGCTTCGCCTCCACGTCACTCGCTTGCACCTCGGGCACCTCGGGCACCTCGGGCATCGCTTGCACCTCGGGCACCTCGGGCACCTCGGGCAGCTCATCCGGAAAGCCCTTCTGGCGCCTGGAGGGCGACAGCACCGAGATCTGCTCCGCGATCTTCCTCCGCGATTGCCGCAGAGCCGCGTACATCTCTGGACTCCCTCCGCGCTTGGGGAGCGCTCCCACACCCTCAAGGTAGGCCAAGTCTCTGAGACGATTCAATGCCTGCTCCTTCCTGCACAGACATGAGGCATGCATGGCGTAGAGTCATAAAGAAATGCAAGTTGAAACTGTCCCAAATCTGCCCGCAAAATCTGCCAAACTGCAGTCATGTCTCATGATGTGCCTGGGCAGCAACACATGTGGTGGAGTCTCCCACATTGACTCATCAGTTGAAGGGTTGTGATAGTACAAGTTGCCACTATCATCTTTAGCTGGCTGCCACTCAAAGAGCATCTTGGTCATAGTTGCTTCCCACGACTCCTGGGACACAAAGTTAGCATCGGCTATTCGCATACAACATATCACGACTACAAGAGCCAACCAGCATCGCGGCGTGGTACGACGCAAAACATAATAGCACAACACAAAAGTAGCAACATCCGAGAAAGCAACAGCACGCAACATGTGTAGAAAACAGCAACGCCAAGTTGTTAAGCCATTCAGACAAGCAAGTGCAACGAATGAAGCAAATGAAACAGGCAATTGCTCAAGAGCACTGTTGAAGTCTGCCAAGTCCTGCAGAGAGTTCAAGACTTGATCTCTGAGTGGTGCCGGAAGCTGCACAGAGGTCTGGAAGACACAGGAGACTTCCCGAAGAACATCATCCAATGGATGCACCTAAGACAGAAAGGACATGGTACTCGATACAGATTCAGGCGTGCCAGGCTTTTCGGATGTGCCTTGGCAAAAGAAACAATACCTCTGGGCCTTCAACAAAACTGAGTGCAAGGCCCATGAGGTCTCGTTGCTGGTCTGGTTCCAGAAATAGGCGTTATTTTGCTCATCTCGAGACAAGGACCAGGGAGCGGGTAGGCCAGAGTGCCCCAGCACATCAGCCAAGAACGCTGTCAGAGGCACCTGGTGAGCGAGTGTCTCGTGATCTCTTTGTTGCATCGGCCAACACAAACCTTTGGCAACGTTAACACTCTCAATACTCCACCTCAGGCCGTAACTTCAAACCACAGACAGCGATGCCGTTTTCGTTCTATGGGATGAGGCATTGTTGAAATGAGAATAGCAACATGAAAGCCGTGGCATCAGCGATGGCTCAAGTTGCAAGACCCCATCCTGGCTCGTTGTGGTAAGTCCACTCGTCTGCAGGTACCGGGAACGCTCTTCCCAGGTCCATTCCTTTAGGTTCTCATCCACCGGGAGGTCTTCCAAGTCTGACCATGCGCCCTTGTACTCGTCCATTGCGAGAGCAGGGTGATCATGCAATGCAGCCAACCTACATTGGTCACCTCTACAGCGTGAGCTGTTAACGGGTACGGGAATTGTGTGCCTGATATGTGGGCAGTGTCATTGTCAGTGGTAAAAGTGGCTCACACGATTCAATGCGATCAGACCAGGTAACAGCATCTTGGCCCGTCTGTCTATCCTTGTCCCGAGCATCAAGTAGCTTCAAGCATCACACGGCCGGATGCACTCATCACCAACAGCGTACTCAACAGCCGAAACAAATGCAGACCAACTCAAAAAGCCCCTGTAGGTCTGGATGCCATGTGTTTGTCTGTGCCTGTCCTGTCCGCAAAATCGACCTCCGGTGGCTGCCTCCCTCCGTCTTAGCCTCAACTCGACCCCCCCAAACCGAGACTCGAGGCGTCTCACTCGTCTCACTCGTCTCCCGACCTCTTCAGCAGCTTCAGGTCCCAGGGCGCCGAGGCGATCTCCGAGGTGCGGCCCGCCTCCCGCGTGAAGTCCTGGCAGCCCCGAACCCCAACCCCCATGAACCCCGTCTCAGCGTGGCCATGGGTTCGAAAAAAAAGGGCGTCCCTTTTTGGCTGGTTGAGTTTCAAGGGGAACCCTTTCACAAAAAAAAGAAAAAAGAAAACAAAGGGGCGCCACTGGGCAACAGAGCCATCCACCCCTATGAACCCCATCCACACGATGCATCGTCCATCTATTCCATCTAGCCGTCTGGCCTTTCGGCTCTGTCCTGCGACCAGCCCACGGCGTTGCGGAAGCGCGCACGCAAGTGATAGTCCGTGCAGGAGGCAAGCTGCTCCAGCAAAATTTCACAGACCTGAAGGCATGCCAAGGCCTGCGAGTCATTGCAAGGCCGCGTGGCCCTTCTTCTCTCCACCATGCACTTCAACATCTGCTGAGGTCTGAGGTCTTGAACTGTGTCTTCACTACTTTGCACCATGATAATTGCCAGCCAAGGAACACTTGCACCCTCCTGCATAGTAACTACGGCAATGCAGCAGCTCGGGGCAGGTAAGGGGGCAATGCTGACAGCGTAAGATCTTGTGGGGTTGTCACTCCTGAAAGGAAGAACCAATTTGCTTTCATGCACGGAGACAAATGGCACGCACATCTTGCTCAATCGGGAAGGCAGATCTCCACTCTCCCTCCAGTTCTCTACGAGAACCGAGGAAAAACAGGGGCAAGCGGCAAGCCCCGGCAAAATCTACCACCTGGCCAAGGACGAGAGCACCCGTAACTCAAACCTGGCTCCTCGCAGAGCACCATCTTGGAGGTCCAGGAGCCCAAGATGCCACCCTGAGCCCACTGCCTAAGAGACTGGGCCAGGAGATCGGCCATTCGATTTTGGCCAAAACTTTACGTGGGCCTAGGTGCGAATCTGAGTACTCCGCTTATGCCCTACGACAGCCAACACTTGTCAGCCGAGCTATGTGGCAGAGACCGCCGTTCGTGCAAAAAAAGTGAGTCAGCCATCGGTGAACAGAGTGGAAGATCGAAGCAACACTTTTCTGGATAGTCCAAGATGCAGCTCGCATTCCAAATTTGGCAGCGGTCCTGGCCTCGCCTGAACCTGCGCAAGGCGCAACTTGCGCAAATCCCCAAAAAAATGCCCCCCACCCCCCCCCTTCCACGCGCGCTGCATGCGACCTGGTCAGCGCCTGCAGCGTGAGCCCCTGGGGCCGTCGCCGCAGCACCCGCAGCGCCTTGGGCGCAGACGGCCGTGAGGCTGTGGAGCAGCGCACCTGTGCGAGACGGAGAGTTGGGGGTGTTTTTGGGTCGGTACCCCTTTTCGGCTTGGTTTAAAGGAAAGCCAAAAGAAAACCGCTTATCTTGGAGGGGCCCTCAAAAAAGACAAACCCATTTGGGTGAGGGGACTACCAAAATGGCTTCGGTTTTTTTCATGGTTGTTTTTCCAGTTGAAGCCACCAAACATGGGTGAACCCCCAAAAGGACACACCCATTGGATGCCATTCCAGGTCGCAGAGCTTTTGCTTCAAAGGCCTGCAAGTCCAGCTCAGGGTTGTCTGGTGCCACCCGGAAGGCGTACTGGGTTTCCTGAAGGCGAAATACGGAACTCGCCGGTGTTTTGGATTCGGGTCCCATGGCAGCCCCATCGTTTAGGTGAAAGAACACATGGCATGGAGTACTCGCCTTCCTGCAGCCCTAGGTTTTCCCCTCCGACTTGTCACGAATGGCTAATGCGCTTGCCAGGAAGCGGCACATTGGCATCGAAATGAAAACTGCCTAAATGCCGTGGATGCATGTGCATCTCATACTAGAACCCAGTCACAGTCATTTGCGGCACTTGCCCCTTCAGACTTGGCGAGAGCAGGCCTCTACTGGGTAATCTGCCCCTTCGTTCCATTCTACCTGAACATCCTTGGAGGCGGCACAAAAAAAAGAACCTCCATACCAGCTTGATCGATGCTTGCCAAGTCTCTGACTTCAAGTTGGCCACTTGCATGCGTGTCACACCCTCCTCAGCTGTCGCCACAAGCATACTGTCTGGCAATTCCGTGGCGGGATTTGCCGAGTCTCACATGCAACTTAGTTGATGGCATAGTGTTTCTGCAGCTGTGCGATAATTAACAATGACTAGTGTTCACTTGTCAACGAAACGCTTACTCTTGATGTACTTTCTTTAGCTAGATGTGCATGTCCGTGACAAGCACTGGCCACCACTCCCAAATACCAGTTCTTTGGCTTGGACGGATGTTGGTCTCAAAGAATAGCACTTGTTGCCTGCAAATGTCATGCCCGTAGCATTGATCTTCACTCATTTATCTGACTCAGTCAAGCATCGGAAGATGACACCTTTAGGTCGGTGATGGGTACCCACGCATTGCTTGAGAGCCAACCTGGGCTGGCGATGGTGCAATATGAAGCCGAGGTATCGAGCCAATTCCCAAAGCGTTGGACAACTGGAAATTGTGCGATGATATCCGAAGGATGCAAAAAGCAATAAGATGCAATCTCATGTAATATACGCACTTGCGTGGTGTTGTGACTGATCAAGATTTGGGCAAACCTTGTGAAAATGCTTGTCGAGACTTAGTCTCATACCAACATCTGCCAGAGAGCTCGAGTAGTCAACCCCTAGCAGCTGCTCAAACGGAAGGACTCCAGCTCCAGTTCCACTACTCCCCTTCATTGCTCATTAAATCACTATGGGCCAGAAGTCGGGGATGACTTGCGAAGGTGGCCATATGGCCTTGCAATTGCGATCCTTGCCAGAGCGAAGGAATTTGGGGAACTCCCCAAATCATGGGCTTCCTCTTGCTTTCCCTTTACCAGGACCTTCCATGGCTTCCCCCGTTTGACCCGTTTCGTCGGAAGCGCCCGAAGCCGCCTCCGCAGTCGTAGCGCTCCAGGCGCCACTCCGCGGGGAGCGCAGGCGCCTCCAGCGTCACTTCCGACGCGCCGCGGGCCACGCAGCGCAGGCGCCTCGGACGGCCCGGGCTCCGCAGGATCCGAAGGACGGGGGTTCCACGTCAAAAGTTGCAACTTAGTGGTGTCCATTGAGACTGCCACTTGTGGATGTCTACAAAAGGGAAATAGAGGGACACCTGAAGGAGCAAGCTGAGCAAGGTGAAGTGCGCAGAACTTATCGAAGTGGCTCGAACCTCTCTTCCCCTGCAGAATATCAGGCGAGATGTTATTCCCTTTGCCAAGAGAATAAATGCATCATGCGTCCCTCTCCCTCCCTCCCTCTCTCACTCTCTCTCTCGCTACTTTCCTGGAGGGTCCCACGAACCTGTCATTGTCTTGGATCCCTGCCCCTCTGAACCCAGACGTGTGCGGCGGCGCGGCAGATCCTGCAGACAGTGTGCAGGGGGCTTCATGTTGCCACCATCGAAAGCAACCAAAAGCTTGGGGTCCTTAAATGTGCAGGCCTTACCGGTTTGTCCAATTCACATCCCAAAAAAACATGGCCTGAGTTTGCTTCAGCCATAGCACGTGGTCAATAACATATCCCACCTTGACACAGAGCGGGGAGTGATATTGGTTTGTGTCAAAGCATAACCGCCTCCCAAAACCGAAAACAACATGGCATCATTGATTGGCCTCTCATGGAGCTGCGCGCCTTCGCCGGCCGCTGCCCCATGCACGCCATGGGGCGAAGCTCATGTTGCCCCAAACGGAGCAAGCTGTACCAAAGCCCCCAGCTGAGGTATTTTGTCCGCGGAGCAAGAGGCTTCAAAAGTCAATCCCCACAATCGCAGACCACCTTTGTCAAACAATTGGAAAAACAGTTGTGGGAGGCAGTGCACAACTAGCATGCTGCATCAAGCAGGGTTCTATCTGCAGCGTCTGGTAAATTATCATGTCAGATCCACTTCGTATCAGCTGGCCTGAAATTAAAACCTGCGACGGGCAGAGTTGGCAAAAATCGCTGACTCGTAGCTGGGCTTGGAATTGGCCTCCCTGTCTCGCAAAGGACACATCTGTAACAAGTGCACCTCGGCTGAAAGGAATAAGAGCTGGGCTCAGAGACTTGCTCTGCGCCTGCACATGTGGCAAGCCGGACCGCGGGACTGGACAAAAAAGCGACAGGCCTCCGCAGTAAGCTCCTTCAGCTGGTTGCGCATCTGCGCCTGACAAGAGGCTTTGCTCGCCCCAAGCACACTCCGCACTCCGCACCTGCTGGCTAGACAGCTCTTGCAGCGTCTGCAGCAGCCCCTCCTTGGAGTCCAGCGCCAACTTCTCCTACGGAAGCTGAGGCCAACGCTGCACACGACAAAATGCGTTGCTCCCCAACAAAACACCGGGAAGTTGGGTGCCAGGTGTCCTCAAGCTCAAAATAAGCTACCGGCAGCTACTCGTTATCCCAATTCAACATGCCTGGCTTGTGAGGTCAGATTGAAGGAGCCAGCAATGGTCCAGGGCAATGAGCCAGAAATGGTATCCAGGTTAGGAAGGCCTGAAGGAAAAATAGCCACTCTGTCCCGTTTATCTGCTGAGGCGGCTGTGTTTTTAGTTGCTTCGGCTAACCCGTGGCTCCTTACGAACCTTCGAGCCACCACCACTGCTGCGCAGCAAGGCCTCAGCCACCAAGCAACATGCAACGTGTCGCTGGGGTCATCGGAAAGGGAACCCCCAGGTTTTGAGCCCAGCCGTGCGTCTCCCGTGACATGCTGACCCTTTCAAAGTCGCATGCAGCCTCCCCGCTATCGGACAGATGAAGACCGCGAAGCAAACCCCCGGCCGCACCTTTCGGCCGCTGAACTCTCTGAGCCCCAAGCAAACACGCCCACGGCAGTGATGCCCCCCACGGCAAGAAGCAAATACTTGGGCTCCTGCGACGCAAACACGGACACACGGACAGTCTGGCCGACTGCTCCGGAGCATCCATCCCACATCGCGCAGTTTTCATCCAGAGGCACGAGTCCACTCGCAGACAGTGAAAGCCTCAGCGTCTGGACTTCCGTTGAGATCAATGCACTAATGAATAGCATGTTGCATGAAGCCTGCTTCAGCTTCCCGTTTCCCGACTTCCAATCTCCATTCCTCATTACCTTCGAATTTGACAGGCGGTACATCACCGTCCGTACATTGGTGTCAAATATTCTTGATATTTGCTTTGGAGGGCAAGCCGTTTTCAGGGGCAAAGGCTGGTCAGCCAGGCTCATCTGTGACAACCCAAATATTCCTTGGCATGTCTTTCTCTGCTCACTGTCCAACGGTGCAAAAAAAACCACAGCCATTGCCAACATGAAGCTGCCAAGGAGAGCACAACGTTGCATTGCACCGGGTTTGACACAGAATGATGGCTTCGGCAGGGTTGAACCGATTTTTCATGTCTGGCCTGTACCACGGTAAAACAATGAGACCACGTTACGTTATGCAAGGTCTTGCTGACCCCAAATGTATCTTCCCTTGATCTTCTGTCTCGGGTCCAGTGCGAAGGGACAGCCCGGAAAGCCCCAAACAGATCTGAAATCTATGCACTCAAGGACTTGTCCAACACCTTTCTGTCACGTTTGGGCCCTCCTTGCCGAGCAGCCTCGCTCTGCTTGTTCTTCCAACACAGCCGGTCGACGCTGCTCAACTCAGCATACTGCGGGTCAGAGCCCTGCGAAGCAAAGGCGGCCATTCCTAGTTATTTTTGCCACTCATGCCTAAGGTTCAAATGGAGATTGCATGGGAACTATGCCGAGAATATGCTAGCATAAGACCGCCGAACATGTGGGGTGAACATGAACCAGCATGCTGCCCAGTAAAATCCGATAAATTCTGGTGAAAGTGAGCAACGTTCATTGTAGAAATCGGCCGTCGCGCGGCATGGCAGCCTTGAGCCAGTTTTCCTTCACGAGCCTACAAAAAGCTCTTGGACAACCTTGGTGTTATCCTAGATTGGCGATCTTTATGCATATCCATTGGCGATGTAAGTCTGACTTAGGCAATTTTATCCTGTCAATGGCGTATTTATGTCGCCAACGTTGATCGTTGCTCAGGCTTGACGGAAGCTGAAAAATTGTACGAAGGTTGACGGAAAGTTTGACGGAAGCTTGACGGAGGCTTGACGGAGTGGCGAGTGCTGGGTTGTTGGAGTCAGTTGTACGGTTTTGTTGGTGCCCGGCGCGGCAGTGGTGAGTACTGGATCTTGTTTTTTTTTGTTTTTTCTATTTTTTTTCTGACTACATCCATGCAAGTACAACACCATGCGCAGTTGACAGCCTCTATTCAACATTGTGACATCACTCATTTTGCGCCTTCGCGAAGAAGCCCCTGTCATCCAGTTTTTGCAGAAGTGACGTGCCCTTGGGGACGGACTTGTAGCCGCCCCAGTAGATCTGTCCCCTGGCAGTGTTTCTCTTTCCACTTTGAAATGCACACAAATGAACTGCTGAATCAAACAATCCACTCCAAAGCTCATAAATGCTTTGCATGGAAGCACGCAACCTGTGAAGCATAGCGGGCGGTGCCTCTCGACTACCACCGAAGATGCATCTGCTCTTGTGGAGGTTAACCAGAGCCCGTCCCAAGGGTCGCGCTTTGCTCCTGGAGGAACATGAGCAGAAGTCTTGGACTAAAGAGGCTTTGCCCTCATCGAAGTTTGCGGGGCTGGGAGCAATGGTGAACTTAGAACAGGAACAAACATGTAGAAAACCAAACACGCGTGACCCAGTTGCCATTGCTGTCCCTCGACCTGAAACCCTTCCGAGAAACCAGCTCCTCCATCGCCTTCCTGGTACCTGAGCAAAAAGCGCCTTGATGGCAAGCTTGGCTCTGCAATCACCACGCTGGCAGGATGAGCCCGCTGTTTTGCCTTTTGCTCAACACCGGATTGACAACTGTGGTAGATTGCATTGTCGATCCGAATGCACCCACTGCTCCAAGCTGGCATCAGAGTGCCCATCGAATTTCTGCGCAGAAGTTTCCCCTCGTAGCGGCACCGACTTTCCAATGCTTCAAAGGGGCTCATCATGGTAGTAGCCCAAGCCCTCTGGGCCGAGCTTGAAGGCATAGCCTGACGGTTTCAGATGTGCGAAACGGACGCTCAGTACATCTGTCGCTCAAGGGATGCACTCTGGTTCTCATGTGAGTCACAATCAAAATATGGTACCAAAAAGGTAAACCACAATGTGAGAAGTTACCAAAGCGGCGAAGGCACCCATTTCTGGTCGGGATGAACTTCTGTTCAGAGCTCAAGGCTTGAGACGCCATTTGACGATGCAAATCTCCATGGCATCTGAAATCCTGCCTTGCTTGACGCCCTCGAAGCGGCTGCAGGGCCAGAAGGTTGCGTTCAGCACCAGGATGAGATCCACGCTCCCACCCCCTATGGCTGGCGAGGGGCACGAAGCCGCAACGCAATTCAGTACCTCTTTCGCATGAATCAGAATCGGATCCGCACGCTAGCATTATTTTTTTGCGACATTCACGAGAAAGCAACAAAGAGATTCCACTCTAGCCAGGAGCCACAATTTGATAGAGACTGCGACGCATCTTGCTGGGCTGCTTAAGATGCAGGCCATGTGTGCCAGTTCTTGTTTTGCGTCGTTGGCCCTTGTCAAACAGAAGCCAGACTCCAAGAACAAGTTGCGTCAAGTGGAACCAAGCAGAGACCTGGCGATAGCTGGAGGCGCGACCCAGTCACGAGCCCAAGGCGCCTGCTCGGAGCTCCGCGACGCTCTGGTCATCATCCAGCTTCTGAAAAGTGCCTCGAGGGGCCGCATGGAAAGGAAGCATAGTCACAGTGCCGCGAGCACTTTTCAAGGGCGGCATCACAAAGGAGGACGCAAGTGAGCTGCTTCCATTGTCTGAGAGGGAGTTGGCGTAGTGATTTCCGTGGCAGTGCCCCTTTGGACACAAAGCCTGCGATTCAGATGTCCTGAATCGCACGGTGCGCATTATAAATGGCATTGGTGTTCGCAAGCGAGCACTGGATACAGCTACTGTGGCCGCATTCAACTGGTATCTTCCCCAAAGCCCAAAAACCTTGGGCCCAACATCACCACATCATCGCCATAGGTGCTCTTGCTGTCCGGTTGGAGGTTCCCATCAACCACTTGTATTTTTGACCACGACACATCTATCGACAAGGACTCGATTCGCCAAAGCTTCAACACACGTGCCTGGCGCGAGCAGCTGCTGCTGCGAAGGAAGATTGCCCTTCTCCTTGTGGACCTGCTCCTTGAGCTCACCTCGGTCACTCCTGAAGCTTCTGTCGGCTTCCTTTCACTGCTGCCCAGCTGCCCACCCGCGTGGTGGCTGGCACTTGCAGCGCAAGCAAAGCCACTCCACTGATGAGCCCAAGATTCACCTCCTCGGGCGTCGCAAGTGTCCGCTGAAAATGCGTTGCACGGGGCCCAGTAGTGTGCAAATGAGCTCCGCAGCAGAAACATCAACCAACAACATCAGGAGACAAACTGTGAGGAATGGTGCGAAATAATTAAGTCTGTGTTTGAAGTTTACCTGAACTAGCCTGCTGTGGCATGGGTTGTCATAGATCAAAACAATGCGCGCCGGGCCACCACCAATTC